GCTCTAAACGGTGTCCATCATGTTCTGCTATTACCCAAAGTGCATTGGGTAACGAGCTGTTCTATCATTTCCCACACATCGCTCTTCTTTAAGGGGACTGAGTCAGAAAGTCGGAGAGACAGGTGGAAAGCCAAGGGAAAAAATGTGTTGAACGCTGAACTAAACTTGTAGCTATTTAGTGTTGTCACTATGCAGTGCACTTGTCCTGAAGGCCTGTTTCAGACCAACGTGCATATGGATTTATTATTTTACCAGTCGTGACAGTTGTTCCGTTCATAAGTGCTGGTGAAACAGAGTAGAACATGGAATGATCTTAACCAGGACCTTGTTTGCAGTAATGCGGGAGTTGCTCCGGTCAGTTGGGGTGAAGAATGCGCTGAGCTGAAAGGTGACGCTTTTGATTTCCTGGTCCGCCTGTGTTCCAGTCATCACCTACGGTCATGAGATATGGATCACGACTGGGAAAAAATGAGGAGCTTTGTCATCCAGGGGGAGCTCAGGGTAGAGCTTCTGCTCCTTCATATCCGAAGGAGTTGGCTGAGGTAGTTCTGGTATCTGGTTTGGATGCTTCCTAGGTGCTTCTCTTTGGAGGTTTTCTGAGCATGTTACACTGGGGGAGACTCGGAGACAAACTCAGAACTGACTTGAAGGATCTTACGTACTCTCTTGCCTGGTAACAACTTAGGATCCCCCCAAGAGGAGTTAAGTGGAAGAAAATGGATAGAGCAAAAAAATAAGGGAGCAAACCATTCTCCTCCAGCTGCTCCATTAATCAGGCACCACACTGATACCGGATGACTTTCTCTAAATTAACATTTTTGAAAAACAATCCTTACTCAAGTTTTTGTTTGACCTCACCAACATTAGGAGTCTTTGAGGAAAGAAAGCAAGATGACCTGAAACAAGCACAAAGGACCTTTAGAGAGAAACTCTGGTTGGGATGGTTATGATGTGACCAATAATGTTTTCGACAGTATTGTGGAAAAGATGCATTTTACTGTGAAACTACCCAACTTCAGTACAGTTTAGTTTTATCTTGTTAGCAGTTTGTAGTGGGGTACATTCCACTCCGTTTATGGTTATTTACTTTAAGCTTTTATTTCCTTGTACCATAATTTTTTCTGTTTTAATCAAACACATGGATTTGTACAACTTTATCTATATAATTTTATTTTTATAAAAACTGACTAGCCGGTTCCACATGCAAAAAAACGTTCATCCAACCATCGATCATGGCGGTTCATTTGATGAGTCGCAGCCACTCTGGGTCATCTGGTGGGCTGCTATTAATGGCAGCATCAGTCCAAAGTCTTTTACTTGTTTTTGTTGATTTGTTCATTTAGCTTTAAGATCTAGTAGAGTGCTGTATGGATGGGTAAATGAGGACACAGATTCTACTGTAAGCACTTTGAGTATCTTGATTAGATAGAAAGGTGCTATAAGTACAGTCCATTACCATTACCATTGTTCTGCCCCTGAAAAACAAGAAACATGTTTTCCTGGCCCCGTCTTTGTCTGCTGCACTGACCAAGTGATGTGATGAAATCGTTGCAGCCTCAATCAAAGATAGCATACATGTTTACCTGCATTTGCATGATAACGTGACTTGTGTCCCTCACAGTTTGTCCGTTTGTCCTCGGGAAACGCACAAAAAAAGGGAGAACAGTGTATGTTGAAATATACCAGGTTCCACAAACAGAATGACTCGAAAAACTCGAAGAAACTGGTGTTTTTCCTGCCTCATTGGTTGCAAAGTTGTTGAACTAGTAAAACCACTGGATGATGTTTCTGGTTTGTGCCAGGGCTCAGATGAAAGTTGATTCTTTGTTGTGTGTGTCGGTTTTAATCTGATTTGGCAAACCTCCCCATTTTGTGGTTTCAGTTGCAGTCATTACATTCTTACTAAAGTCAGCATCTTCATAAATGTGATGGCAAAAACAGTGTTTAAATATGTATCCGTGTTTTTATTATTTTTTTAAGAAGTTGTGATGATCTTTAAAGATGATTTCCATCAAATCTGCAGATCATTTTTCAAACTGACACAGGTCCAAACTGCTTCCAGTCACAATTCCACAGACACGCTGGCTCTTGATTTATGATAATTTCCAGGGAATCATCAGAAACCCTAAGAGCATGGTTTCAACATCTGAAAAATCTGATGTTTTACAGTTTGGACTTTACTCACTTTCAATATATCGGCTTTAAATTTGTAGTCAAGTTACAGTTTTTCAAAGTTTGCTCTTTTTGAACTAAAATGTTGCGATTAACGAATTTAGATAACCGTCCACCACCTGCAGTTCTTACAAACATTCTAAACTCTAAGTTGGTTTAAAAAAATGTCCTTGGTAAAAAAAAAAAAAAAACATAATTTCAATTATTTCACTCAGTCTGTATCGCCCGCTGTCGAAGGCGGAGCAACGATAACCATTTTGCCTGTGTCTGTGAAAATGTATTTTTATGTGTCTGTTATCAAAATATCTCGCGCACAATTTAAATGAGAGAAATTGCATTTCCTGTGAAAATGCAGTATGAATGCTTATTGCTGAAGAACTTGCTGGAAAAACAGCTGAAAGAAGCTAAACAACTTTCTGAAATGTAGCTGAAATGGAAGAACAAGCCTAAGTTAACAGAAGAAAGCAGAAAGAATACATATTTGCTGAATTATGTTTAAATAAGCAGAATTGAGCAACAAAGTTAGGAAATTGGCTAAAAAAAAAGCTGAAATTAGCCCCACAAAATAGCTGAAAAGGCAGAAAGAAGCTTGAACTACCAGAATGAAGTGGAACGAGCCAAAATGAGCTAAAAAATGTGCAATTAGCTGAAAAAACTCAATTTAGCACAAAACAGCTAAATAGTAGCTGAAAGGAGCATAACAAGCTGAAATTAGCAGAAAGAAGTTAACTAGGCTGAAAGTAGCAAAAATACAACGAACAAATTCATCTGAAAACAGCTGAAATTAGCTAAAAGATGCTAAAAAAAAGGGTAGCTGAAAAGTAGAACAAGCTTAAATTAGCAGAAGTGCACACACTTTTGTCCAATTAGGCTGAAAGTAGCAGAAAATAGCACAAAAAATGGAAATTATCTGGAAAAAGCTGAAGTTTGCAAACAAAACCCAAATAAACAGTAGCTAAAAAAGCAGAAAGAAGCTTAAAATTACAAGAAGGAAGTGGAGAGAGCACATCTTTGCTTAATTAGGTTGAAAAAAGTTGGAATAAGTGCAAAAAATGTGGAATTGGCAGCTGAAAAAGCTAAAATTAGCATAAAAACGGCTAAATAGTAGCTGAAATAGCTGAAAATTGTGGAACGAGAAAGACGCTGAAAAACATATGGAAGAAAAATGGATCACAATAGTGTGAATGCTTCATAAACATTCACACTATGAAACGTACAGAAAGTAATCTTTGGTTTGCTTTTTAGAGGCAGTCGGACTGAAGATGTCAACTGATCATATAAAACATAAATGGCTATAACTCAGTCAGTCTGACAGAAATTGAGCTAAGATTTAGTGTGTTTACAACAGACTGCATAAAGTCTATGTCTAAAATTTTGCCATGACCTACAGTATTTGTCTCTTAACAACAGATCTCATGGACCGTTAGACGGATTTAAATGACGTTTTCAGGAAATACTACTAGATGTACGTTTACTGCTGATTTATATTTGGAGTCAACTCAATTCAAAATGCTTGCCACTCTAGAAAACACAAAAAATTATGATAATTCAGTTAGTTTTATAGATATTGTGCAAAAAAAAATCTGCGCTGGTAGTTTAGATTAATTCAAGTGCAACTCTGAGGTTTTTGCTTAAAACTTTAGCGTTAACTGCTGAAGTCAACTCTGTCTGTTAGAAAAATATTGCATGAACCACTGAATGGATTTTTTTGAAAACTTCATAAATAAATATTTGCAACTGATTTGACTTTTGAGTCAACTCAGTTCAAGATGGCTGCCACAGTTAATCAACATTTGCCAACACAAAAACAGCTAAAACTCCATCAGTGCTACAGGTAACGAGCTAAAATTTGATGTGGTAGTAGTTGAGAGTTATTCCTAACACATATTTTGACCACAACATCTTGTGATATTGCGTAACTTTATTTAGATCAAAATTGCAACAACTTTGTCATTTCTCAGCACAAGATGATCATATTTTAAAACTCTGACATGAAAGGTGCAGCATTTAAGGATTTCTATGTCTTTTTGTTTACTTTTATATCCTCTAGGCCTGAAAATCAGGAATGAGCGGGTACTTTTTAATAAACCTTCTTCTGGTCCAAACTATTTTTAGCGTTTAAATATTCACCTGCTGTCTCTCTGTCACAAAAATTTAAGCAAAAAGTGTCTCTCCACTGAAGCAGTGATTCAGTTGCGTCAGTAGATCCGTCCTTTAAGGCTCTTGATCTTTGCCACATCATTATCTGACGGCTATATTTGGCTGTTTCTGTCTATTTTCAGCTCCCTGCCCCAAGTGCCCATGTTAATCACTCCGTTTTCTCTAGCTTTAAAAAAGAAAGGTTGAAATTTGACAGGCGGCTGCAGGTAAATATAGACAGAGGGATGAAAGCTGAGGAGCCGTTTTTAGACTGTTTACAGGAGAAAACGGTCTTTAAGGCAGCAGCAGGTTTGAAGTCGGTCGTCTGCTTGCATCTGTAAACTGATGAACTTCAGGTGTAGAAAAGTCCAGCTCTTGGGTCAGATGAAATATTCGCACACAAGTTCAAAAGTGACTGAGTTCATCTGTTGTGCCGCCTGCCTGAGGTGCAGCAGTAACAGCTGAACTATGTTCGGTGGTGACAAATAGGAGTCGAGACGTGTCGGCACAGGCGCTGAATGCTGCATCGCTCACGGTAAACCTCACCAACAGTGTCTGCTTCGTGCTGCGGCCTCTGCCTCAGCGCTGCGGTTCACCTGGACCCTCATCTTAACGGTCTCTGTTTTTGTTGTCCAGAAAGTGGAAGCATGTTTCTTTAAAATGAATTTTTGTATTCACCGTTTCTCCAGGGGTGTCATCTCGTGTCCCGGAGATCATGGCGGCCGGCACCCACTCCCCCGGCGGGCCCAATGGCATCATACGGAGTCAGTCCTTTGCAGGCTTCAGCACCCTGCAGGAGCGACGCTCACGGTATGTAGACCACAAAATGATTATCATTGAGGTGAAGCAGTTTTAATTAAAGGTTTTGGGGTCAAAGGATTAATAGAACTAGAAAGTTCCTGGAGAAACTTTGACGGGGACTGCTACATGGCGGCCAGTTTTAAATTTGATTAGACAGTATGTGTTGGGGTTCGCTCTCAGCTACCACCATGCCAAATTTCAGCTTAAAATGGCAAAATAAACACGCTAAATAATTTTTTTCTTTTAAGCTGTGGTGGCCATCTTGGATTTTTGATTTGGATTGAGTAAAGGTTCTCAACTATAACCACACCAAATTTCAGCTGTGTGTGTAAAAATAGCTGCGTAAATACCATTTGAATTGAGCTTTGGTGGCCATCTTGAATTATTTTTAATTAATTATTTATTGGGCATTGCTCTCAGCTACTACCACAACAAATTTTTATTTAATATCTCTACATATGGCTGATTTACAGTATTTTTTTTTCCATTTTAGCTCAGGCAGCTGTCTTGGATATTTGATTTGCAACCAGAGTCTATGAAAAATGACTAATAAAAATGGCGTATTTGTAATAGTAACTAGAAATGCCAATTAAAGTAATGGCACACATCACGGCGTCGAGGCAATCGTTTTGATGTAACATTCGTGGGGGTGCATATTGCGGTTCGGACCTCATTAAAGTTGACTGAAGAGTAAGATATAAAGTTAAGAAACCATTGTCAGGTGGATAATAATAGGTGGCTGCCTCTTACATGGCAGTCCCCAGTAATTTTTTTTTTTTTTTTCCCAAAGCAGCATTTAAACACGTTTTGCTTATTAATTAATCTTCCAATTCTGCAAAGATTATGAAAAGAATATCAGATAAAGAGCTTTTGTTCACTGCTACAGTGAAGTTTATTGTTTAAAAAAAAAGAAAAAAGAAGTCTGGTCAGACAGTTGTAGACGTCAGAGCTGTCTACATTTAGCCCAGTTTGGTAAGAATACATAAATTAAAAATAATTTCTTATTCAACTGAGCCAGCCAGCGAATTCAAAATGTAAAACCTCTTATAATCTTTAAGCAGTAGTTCGGACAGGAAGTTGTAATTCAGGCCAAACATTTGTTTTTTTGTCTTTTTGAAACCTGTATAGTTTAATATTTGTATGACTTGTTAAATTAAATGTTGTTTTTCTCCGCAAGTGCAACATAATTATATGAATAGTATAATATTGTAGTCATTTGGGTTTCAATCATGATATCACAGATTAAAACTTTTAAACATCTGAGCTGTAAATTTGCCTTTTTCCAGTTAGTGTTAAAATCTGAGTTTCTGTGTTGTAGCATTTTTGCAGGATTTACTGGTCGAGTTGTGATTTACATACTTTTAAATAGTTTTTGTTGCTGATTTGAGTTAAACACATTGTGAATGCAGATGTTCAGAAATATTTGGGGCTAAATCGAGGCTACGGTCAGACACAACACTGAAATTGTTGCTTAGTTTTCATGTAAGCCTTTATTAATTAGTGATGAATTAACCTTGAACAAATGGCTAACGTCAGTTAGTGTTTTCTTGCTGAAGATGTTTTTTTGGGTTACATAAATTTGCTGTTGAGTCAGTTTAGGATTATCCTTTGAGTTTATGTTTGAATACATCGATGGTCTCCAAGCTGTTATTTATTGAACTTTGTTGGATAGAATAGCTTTAAAAAGAGCTGTTAGCAATACAGTGAAATCTAGACCGAAATCTACTCACCTGTCAGTGACCTGAGCTTTATTTATCTTTGCCAGACGCTCCACTCAGTGCGCTTTAGTTTGGTTTCAGCTGTTTGTGAGCTGGAGGTACGTCAGCTAGCACGTCTGCATCTCCACGGCTCATTAATGAAGAATTGTTCCCCACACAGCATCAAACGTATGAAGGGAGGCAGCTGCAACATTTGGAAAAGATAAGTTTGTTGGTAAAAATGTAAAAGCGGTGACGCTGCTGTGTTGAAGGAACACCAACTGTTGCGTGAAGAAGCGGCAGAAACAGAGCAGCTTTTACCGTCACATGTTTTAATAAAGTTTTTTTTCTTTGCATATGCTGAAGCAACCAGTCGAGGCACATCTTTCCTCCTAAATCTGCTCAAAGCTTCTTTTTCATCCTCTGGATGAGGATTGACTTGAATATTGAAAGTAATCAAATCTGATGTCATTTCCTTGTGTTGACGACTTCTATTAGGTTATACGATATGACTTGGGAACTAATTTCTCATAAACTGAAGCGTTTTTAAAATTGAACCGGTTATCATTTCTCAGCAGCAAACAAGCTTAAAGAATCATTCAGATTGTTTGAAGTGGGGTTCTGTAGGAAGGTTATGAACAATTAATATCTTACCTGTTGTAGATGGCTCATTCGGTGACCTCAGTTTGGAGGAATAGATTAGTTTGAGCTTACTGACTAGCTAACATCTAGTCAGAGCTCGATTGAGACCAAAACAAACTGTTTACATTGTAAAACCAGTAATTCCTCAAAATATGAATAGCAGCTGATTCAATCGCATACAACCCAGGTTTGTTTTTTGTTGTTTTCTTAGTATGTGCTAATAGCGACAGCAGCAGCTATCCTCTGGTGCAGCCTGGGACACTTCCTGTAGGAATATCAAATTTCTTCTGGGATAACTGTATAACATAAAGGATCATAAATTAACCTTCACATGAAAAAGGCTGGAGTTGTTTTAAGATGACAGCCATCCACTTTAGTCTCGACCCCATCACAGACTAGCCATTAGCTCATCAATCCAGTCAGACATAAACTCAAATAGCTATCTACAACAGGTAACATATTGTTTACACAACACCTCACTTCAAATGATCTGAACTATTTCTTGGAAGATTATTTTTTCGTTATTTTTGTAACTATTCATTTTACTTCTTTAACTCTGGAATTTGTGATTTTAAAACTATTAAGCTTAAATGCTTAATGCAAACATAAATATCCCAAAAACAATCTGTTACAATGGACTAGTTTAATTAAAACTAAAGTTTTTAAGTAGTGTAGACACTAGAAAATGTGATTAATATATCCATAATTTTGTATTAAAAAAAAAAAAAAACCTGACCAAATATTCTCCTGATTTAATGCGAGCATGTCTTTGTTTGCAGTTTTTGCTGACACGCTCTCCCAGTTTCCCGTACTGAATAATGTATGAAGTACCGCTCCATTCTGTATTACCGTGCAGAAATGAAATATACGCCTTTCTTGGCAGTTGTGCGCTGCGTTCAAGTGCAGCTTTATTGCTCAGTGACGGTCGTTGTGAGCAGGTGCAGAGGGAGGCTTTTGTTGCTGTCGGTTTGGAGCGACTGGACCTTTTTAGAGTTCATTCACAACATCAGAGCCAATCAGATGTCCCACCTGCCAGATGTTTGGCAGAAAGAAACAGAAAATAAAGGTGAAAAGTTTATTTATGCTCCCAAACTTCTAGATGTCAGTTGATTACATGGAATTGAATCATCCGAAGCGTTGCGCAGAGCTGTGAACTTTGTTTCCACAGCTGTCTCTTAAAGGAATCTTATTAGTCACTAGGAGCAGATTTCCACAGAAAAAGGGGTTTTTTGACTAGTTTTAAACAAAAGTTGTGCTTTTTTTTTTTTGTTGTTAATTGCTAGAAGTTGCTTTAGAAATGCTTGGGATCAATAAATGTCTTGAGAGGTTTGAGTTTTATCTCTGTTCCTCCTGCTTTGGCTCGTTGTTCTAGACAAAGCTCAGAGCAGACACATCTCTTCCCAATCTTTTCCTTTTGGGTGTCGGCGTCCGGTTGTCTCCTCGAGCCCTCGGACCTATTTGAAGATGCTGTTGTCCTCCTTTTTGTCTGCTCAGACAGTGAATAGTATGATTAGTCGGAATGACTCAAGTGTGGGGGCGACGGCCGGCGACAGACGGGTTACGTTCTGAGAACGAGTGGAGTGGAAATCTGCAGAGATGGTGCCACAGGAGTGTGTCACAGTTGTGGTTTAGTTGGTGTAAGTCCATTTGTCATATGCTTTATTGACTTTATGTGAGCTTTTATGCTGCAGACTTTGCATTTTGTGTGCAAGGATGCAAAAGTAAAAGTATTGGTCTGTGTGGAAATGGTGCTGTGTGTGTGTGTTAAAGTCAAGAAACCGTAGTGCACATGACCCAAGGCTTCACAGTGCTTTAATTCAGTGTTGCCCTACATTTGTGGCAGCTGAACTTGAATTTGTTCTGCTGCTTGCTTTGCAGCAAATTATGGCACGTTCCTACATGTCGAGTTGTTTCTGTGTCCCCGACGTGACTCCAATCATTTTATTAAAGCCACAAAAATGTAATTTGTCAGCTAAGTCTGTAAAGCTTAAAAAAAACAAAAAAAAAAAAAACAACTTCAAAATATGCACAAGTGTGTGAGGATTAGTGATGCAAAATGAATTCATGAGATGACAGATGAATAAATTCTCTACAGTCATTTTTTTACTTCTATGTAGAAACGAGATCTAGACAGAATAAGACACAAAAACGAATCTAATCTTGAGAAACAGCTGCAGATTAGCTGTTTTGGTTCTATGTTTAAAATAACGTGTAATCTCAAACAATATTGCTTGATCTACTAGGGCTTTTAAATAAATGTTGGCGATGACTCTCAGCTACTACCATACTAGGTTTTAGCTCAAAGTCTGCAAAAGGAACAGAATTACAGCCATTTTTGTGTCTTCTTAAGGTTTCTTTAGTTGCTGAGACGTTTCGTCCTTCATCCGAAGGACTTCTTCAGTCTGAGGAGCCCACCAAACCAAACTGAATCCCACAATCAGCACACTCTCATAGTGGGGAAAAAGCGGTTTGCTGGTGCTAAGATGGCCTCTGGGGCCCGCCCGCTCCCCTGTCAACTCCTCTAAAGGCAGCCATGCCAAAGTGGTTCAAAACACTCATGAACACGCTCACTGTTTATTTCCACTCTGGGCGTGAGCTGTTTGTGGGATTCAGTTTGGTTTGGTGGGCTCCTCAGACTGAAGAAGTCCTTCGGATGAAGGCTGAAACGTCTCAGCAACAAAAGAAACTGTCCAAATGACCTGATTGAGCATTGTTGGATTTATTAATGAACTTTGGTGTTCTCTAAGATTGTTTAACTGTGGTGGTATGGTGCATTTGTGCCAAGGCAGTGTGTGCTGTATTGTCTTAAATGTCAGATTTAGCTGCTCATATGCTGATTAGGATTAGGAGAATTTAAAATAAACTCCTCTGTTTCATCTCCATACCAGGCAAAGTAAAACCTAAAATGTGTCAAACCCAAACCTAACTAGTTGGGTGACAATACGACAGTATCGTCAATATATTAAAAGAGGATCACAGGCTCATTTTGGATGTTCAGTTCTGTTTTTACAAGAAACTGTGTAAATTTAACGTCCACAATCAGTACCTGTTTCCAAAAGAGGGAGGGACATAGAATGACCTATAAGAGTGGAGGCAGGTAGACTACATAACTTTTGGGGCGGCTGTGGCTGAGTGGTTAGAACAGTCGTCCTCCACTTTAACAGTTGGGTGTTCGAATCCACCAGCAGTCACATGCCCAAGTGTCCCTGGGCAAGACACTGAACCCCATCGCCTCCTGATGTGTGTCCCATCGGTGTATGAATGTGATCTCAAAGCACTGATTAGTCTCTTTAGAATGATTTGTTCAATTATCTTTGTAGAGATCTAGTAGAGTGTTGTATGAATGGGTAAATGAGGACACAGATTGTTGTAACGAGCTTTGAGTGTCTTGATAAGATAGAGAGGCGCTTTATAAATACAGTCCATGCATTCTGTGTAGCAGAGGAAACCTTTGGCAGGGGAGAGCGTGGCCAGACAGCATTGGATGGTTGTGTAGAATGACTGTCGTTGTGAAAAAGAAAAAATATAGTAAAATCAGAGAAGACCAAATGGTGGAAGTTGAGGAAGGAAGAATGTTGTGAAGAGTTCAGAAAGGAGCTGTAAGGATGAACTTCCAGATGACTGGGCTACTACAGCAACAGTAATGAGACCGGTAGGAAGGTGCCTGGTGTGTCATCTGGACAGAGAGGAAACCTGGTTTGAAGAAGAACTGGGACAGTGAGCGGACTGGAGAGAATTGGTAGAAGGATGTTGAGAATGCAGCTGTCAGGAAAAAGACGGAGAGAAATCTGGACGCTGTTAGAGAAGACATGGAGGAAGTTGGAGTGAGGACGGAGTGAGATGGAAGAGGATGACTTCCTGTTGCGATTGCGACCCCTGAAAAGGGAACAGCTGAAAGAAGATGACAATTTTACATATTTATGACGTTTTTTTTTATTTATTTCAACAAATAATTTGTCAAGAAATAATTTGAACATCAAAGATAAAGATATGTGCATCTGTTCTGTTGACTTTAATACGAATTTAACAGCGGGGCTCCGTTAAAGCACGGTTATTATTGTCATCCTTTCTTTTAAAAAGTCGCACACTTCTGGGAACTTTAAAACTGTTGCAGGAAGAGAACAGTTTAATGTTGCTGATTGCTCGGCCAGTAGATGTGATTTAGTAAAGAACAAGTTAACTCGTCTCAACGGATAAGCTGTTTTTAGAGTGGTTCCTCGCTCGGTTTTTGCTCTGACTCGTAGGTTTGCTGCATGTTTGCGTATAAGAAGGGATGGGGGATTAAAATACGCTGCTAGAAAAGTTTTATGAGTCGATTTGAAGTTGTGAGACACAATCTGTCCTCACTTGTTTCAACGTCGTCATCTCAGTGGTATAAACCATTGTTCTTGTTCATGTGAACGTTTGTGTGCAGGTGTAACTCCTTCATGGGAAACTCTGCGGTGCAAAAGAAGCCTCAGTCCAAGCCAAAGAAGCCCCACCTGTCAGGCCACAAGGGAGGCAGCAGCTCCAGGGAGCCGCAGCCCAGACGACTAGAAGAGGTTTACACGGCACTCAAACAAGGCTTGGAGTGAGTTTCTCCTGCACTTGTTTAATGGACGCTCGGTCAGATTCAGTCGAGAACATGATGAAAAGCAGTTTTCTCTTGAATACAGTGTAAAGTCTTCATATGCTCATTATTTTACATCAGATGTTTGTGGGCGAAGTGTTGTAGTTTAAAATATTAAGCTTTTTAAGCACTTCTTGTTTTAAGGTAGGGATGCACGATATTGAATTTTTGGCCGTTGTCCGATATGCCGATATTTTAAAACTTATTTGGACGATAACTGATACCAATACCGTTTTTTTTATTTTTTTTTCCCTAGACCTATTTACAGAGACTACATATCTTTCTCTGCTGTGGAATTAAAATACTACATTATTCTGCATGGTTTTTGTCAGTTTGGCCTGCTACTAAATTCAAATGCCAAAAAGGGTCTGAAAATAATAACACTTCAACTTGGATTATGTTTAATGGCAAAGTCACTGAGTTGTCATACAAAAACGGCGCCTTTCATTTATTTCTATATATATAATTTATTTATTTTTAATAGCACCTTTTATATTGTCGAGTTATTTTGATGAAATGGCCGATGTCCAATATTTAACTTTAATTCCAATATCAGACGACATCGATACCATGCCGATAATATTGTGCATCCCTAGTTTAAATGTCTTTATTTTTGCTGAAATTCTGCTTTAAGTTCCCTCTGATTGAACGTTGGAGCTCAGTCCTACAAGTTTGTGTGAAACCTGAACTAATTTCCTTTGTTTTTCTCACAGCGAATATCTTGAAGTTCACCAAACAGAGCTCGACAAACTTATGTCTCTAATGAAGGACATGAAGAGAAACTCTCGCCTGGTAAGACGCCGCTGTAATTTGTAATAAAAACATTAAATGTGCAGTCGCAGCGACCACGTTTGGCATTCGTTTTTTCCTTTTTTTGCGTGTGATGGACAGCTGTGAGCCTCTTTGCATTATGTAAACTGTTTTAATGCACTTATTTTAGTTAATGTGTTTCTTTCCATCCCCAGGGAGTGCTGTATGATCTTGACAAGGCAAGTTGATGAAAGGAACACGCAAACACTTTTAAAGTCTAAAATGTGACGTGGGGTCTTTATGCATTGGACAGTAGTTCCTAAAGCTCTTAGCTTTTACCGACAAAATAAAAGCTATAGACACGTGTAGACCCTACCAGTGCTGGTTGAAGCGCATAAACATTGCTAAGAAGTCTTAAAGCCTCGTCAACTGTTATATTATTATCCATTTATTATTACTGTTTTTATCTCTTTGTAACTTGTAAGGCTAAAAATACCACTGCTCATAATTTTTAAAGTTGATTTGGTCTCTGTAGATCTTCTCCGTTGCCCCCTCTGTGTTTCATGACCCACAGTGGTGTTTGAACTTCAGCTTTAGGAGCCACTGTTTTAGTCCATCACATCCTCACAGACATCGCTGAGCCACTCTCTTATTTTAGTTTCTTCCTTGAAAAACTTTTGTTAGATCCTGAACTCTGCAAAAAAAATAAAAAGAGATGTGTTAGTTGTCATAGTTTTATGCTTGATTAGTGAGCATCAGTCAAATCTTCTGCTGGTTTTTTTTTTTTTTTAATTATTATTTTTTTTATTTCTGCAGCAAATCAAAAGTATCGAGCGGTACATGAGGCGTCTGGAGTTTCATATTAGCAAGGTAAGAGTTTGATGTATGATCTGAGAGGTTCAGTTCATGAACGCATTTAAAATATCCATCCATCCATCCATTATCTTTACCCGTTTATTCCATTTTGGGTCACGGGGGTCACTGGTGCCCATGTCCAGCAATCACTGTGCGAGGGGCGGGGTACACCCTGGACAGATCGCAAGTCCATCACAGGGACACATAGAGACAAACGAGACAAACAACCATTCACTCTCTCACTCTCACCTAGGGACAATTTAGAGTTACCAATCAGTCTAACATGCATGTTTTTGGTCTGTGGGAGGAAACCGGAGCACCCGGAGAAAACCCACGCATGCACGGAGCATTTAAAATATACTTAATAATATTTTCGTTGCAATATGGAGCGTCTCTTTAAGACTCATTCAAAAAAAAATGTTCATATAATTTTACAAGACCAGATATTCATGTATTTACTAAAATGTATAAAAGAAAGACAGAACCTCTACTTTCAAGTTTCATTTTAAACCGTTATTTACTGTTATAAAAATTAGCATGTTACTTTTTCCCTCTATTTTTTCCCTCCATTTTTAGCTTCTTTGGCTAGCTAAGCTAACCAGATACTATCTGTAGCAACAATTCTGATAATTACAGTCAACGATTTTCATTTATTAGCATAAAAAAGTACTCAGTTGTGTTTTTTAAGTTGTTAATTTTTTTTACTTCTTATTGAAATGAATCATATTTGCTAGTTTTAGTTGTTAGAAATTAACTTTTTCTTGTTAGCTTTTCGTTAGCGTATGACCAAACGTGCAGTGTTATTCCACACTTTTCGTCATTTTTACTGTTTGGCTGTTGTTGCCTTTATTCTATTTAAGTGTTGACGTTTGAAATAAATTTCCAGTTAATGAGTAAGGCAACAAAGGAAACATCTCATCACAGGACTTTTTTTTTAAAAACCACTTCCTCTATCTTCTTTTCTGCCAGTTGAAGACTTTAATGTCCTACATTTTTGTTGGTTTAAAAAGGTTTAAAAGACTCTTTGACTTTCCATCCATATCCCCTTTCTGTAGTCCAGTTTAGATCTCCCTCGCTGTGCATCAAATAAGACGTGACAGCAGGTAATCTGAACACACGCCCAAACGACAGCGCAGATCTGAAGGTAACTATGGTTACCTGAAGACAGCCTTTGAAGTCCTCAGAGGAACTCAAGGAAGTGCTCTATTGGTGGATGTTAACCCTCAATATTCACATGTGCACTTGGACAATGAAAAACTCACTATATGACCAGAAGCAGATGTGTTTGAAATGGCACTACGAAGAAGAAAGAGCTTGATTTGTTTGCATGCAAGTCTATTGTGAGGATTAAAAACAGCTGCAGGTGTCAGGAAGGACTGATTGAAACTGTTTTTAAAGATAAGAAAGTGGCAAATAAACAGAAAAAGTGACTTAAGGTTCATTGGAAAATGAGAAATGTTTCAAAATTCAGAAAATGCTTATGCAACGAGCTCCATTTTGACGAAAACAAAAAGAAAACGCGTGCCGACACGATGCTGGTTGTCTTGTATAGTTGTCACAGGATGCTGTTCAACACTCCCAAAGCTTTCCTGCTCGACATCCAACATGACATTGAAGTTCCTCTGTTGTTGAGCAAAAATAGATTTGAATGCATCAAGTGAAGAAGAAAACGTCATGACAGCGAAGAGTCTAAATCTCAATATTTCGAGTTAAATTAAACTCTGAGTTCTACATATGTCAAAAGCAGCAGCCCCTCTGACAACTTGTGCAGTTTTATTTTCCACAGATAATGTTTGGAGAAAAGATGTTTCTTATTTATTTGCAATTGTCCTATTTATTTATTGTTTCCTCCTGCAGAGAGATCGATACTGTCAAACTCGCACGATGCAGGACATAAAACTGGAGCTGTAGCACCAGCACACGTTCTTTCCCTTCGTCTCGGAGGGAGAATAAAACTGAAAAAAAACTGTGCGCTACAGCAACGTGTTTGGGCTCAGGCGTGTTTCTTTGTGCAGGACAGCTGCTGCGAGCGATGACTTAACAATCATCCATCAGCAGGTTGTTAGTTTGTGACTCGCATCAACCCGTTCCTTTGTTCCGCCAGCAAACGTGTGCACAATAATTGGCACACACAGAGTGGGCAGGTGGTACAACACAACCTGCATGATGTCCTGCAAGGGACGGTCTGATGTGTCTGCAGGACACTGGTATCAGCAGGGCATCATTAAAGACATGAGGGACAGCTGTGCACCTCTGTCTGTGTGCGTGCGTATAAATACCTCTTGCACTTGATTATTCCTAATAAAAAGCACTTTCTGCCCCCTCCCCCTTTCCACAATTGCTAATCTTACCATAAACACACCCACACCCACGGTTCCCCCCAGAGATGAGACTGGATGTTTGATGTTGTTTGGTGCGGCCCGCCTGTTTTAATCTGCTTATAATCGCTCGCCCCCTGGACACTGAGTGTGTGTGTGTGTGTGTGTGGATGTGTGAGCCCACCATTATCCTACAATCCTGGATAATGTCCAAATCTTAAGAGGCTTTCTGACAAAGCCTCAAGATTATTTTTTTTTTTGTTCAAAAGTGAAACGTCACGGTGTAGAGAGAGAAAATGTTTTCTCAAATCAACAGTCAAAATGAGTTTAAACTTTGAAAAAAGAAGAATGTGGAAGCTAAAATGTATTGTAATTTATACCGTTAATAAAATCTGATGCAGTATTTCCTCGATTTTAAACGTAATTGATTTCAAATTAAAGCTTTTCCCATAGTTCCTCACTTCCTTGTATTATTCCTGTGCACCGAGCTGAAATGATCAGTCTGAGGACCGGATGTAGCATTAATCTACATTTAATGCCTTTAATTAGCTCACTAGATGTGAAGAGTAGTTTGTTTTTATTATTAATGAATGTGCTCAAATCAATATTATTTTATCGAAGGGCCTCCTTTAAAGCTTTGAATTTTGTCTTTGAATTACTTAAATTACCTGTTCAAGGAACAACTTTTCTCTCCACCGTAACAGTTAAAATCACTTTAATTTTAAACTTGACTGTAACACATGCTGACTTAATTTATTTTACTAATTTGTATGTTTGCCAAAATTATCGCTGCAAGTTCTTTAATAATTTAAAACGTACGAAGATGAAGAACAAGGATTGAACGCAGTCAGAAAACTCCATAGGAGGTGCAGTTGAACCACATCCTGCTTCCAGAGCAGCTGCTGGTATCCTGTCTGTCAGACGGCTCTGTTTGTCTTTCATGTTCCTTCTCTTTCTGCGCCCGAGGCTCAGCAATATGCTGATGGACCGCCTCTTAAGGGGAGCTTGGCTGACCTTCAGAAGCACGTGCTCTTCAGGGGCAGCTTGTGGTCCTTGTAAACGAGGACAAAAATGAGCTTCATTAGCTGTTAATCTTATGATAATGGAAGCTCCTCAGCCCTGGTTTGTGATAGTCCAGTTGGTTTGGTTTTTGTAAAACTAACATAAACTCATTACAGTAGTCCCTCTTTTATTGCGGTTGTTACGTTCTTGTGGGTCAGCTATCAGCTCTAGGGGTCACCAATGAGTCCGGGGGTCCAGTTCTTCTCCGGTTCTGTGCAACCCTTCAGCACCGAAGCACCTTTATTTTGGCAGTCCGCATAGGCCGGCTAGCAGCTATTGGGTTCGCCAATGGGCCTGAGGGTCTGGTTTTGCTCCGGTTCTGCTCTGGTTTCCGGTGGGTCCCGTGCAGCTCTCGGCACTGAAGTCACTGTTAAGGACCAAACTTTTTCGAATCAGATCAAAAGTTTCCCTCTACGTATTTCAGCAGAAGGCAACGGGGCTTCTGGGCGGGACACTGTTGGCTTTTGGGAAATATAGTCCTTATGAGTGGGGATACAGTGTAGGCTTATTGAGAGAAAACTACAAAATAGTGGTGCCTGTTCTAAGTATTTTTTTGTTACCTTTTTACTGTACAGTATCCTGTACTGTCCCAATCACATGAGTAATATTAAAGATGACAAATCATGTGTCATGTACAAATTTTTTTTTCCCTCTCGTGTTCAGTATTATTTTGAAAAACTGCAAAAGAGCTAGTCTACGAAAGTCGAACAAGTAGCGAGGGACTACTGTATAATCATTTATGAGTCGAACGCCACGTTTTGTCTCAGCTGGATGAGTTAAAGCTCACTTGGTTGAATTGTAAAGATTTTATCCCAGACTTGTGTAACTCTCCGAATCTACTTTTTTGGTTAGATAGATGAAATAAAGTTGAGGTTAGATGTTGTTTTATAGCTGCTGCAGCTCCACCACAAACCACAGACAGGCAGACGGGTGGGCTGGGTCCCAGTCAGCGGTGGGTGGGAGTCCGGGAGTGGCTGCTTTCAGCGGAGCTGGGGAAATAGGCGCAAGGGTATTTGTGCGTCATCATCAGACTTGATTATTAACAGAAACATCCCCCTGCTGACGCGTACAGTTTTATTGGGGTAACTATACCAACTTAGAAACTTTTTGCAGTTCCGTATGCTGAAATTTAAACAGAATTGGGTTCGGTTATAAAGAGACCCAAACTAACTGCAGCTATTAGGCGGCAGGAGCCAGAGTGTCCCATTTTTCTCCTGCATCTCCCTAATGATTCCCATAAAAGAGCAAACAGCATCAATATTTCAGCGCTCGCATCCGGCAGGCAGCCACAACTTCCTTTAATGAGGCTCATCACAGGGGTTTTGTTTTGTCCTGGCTGTCACGTCAATCAAACGTGCATTTTTAGGGAAACTTTAAACCTAAATATTCAGGTTAAATATCCAGACTGCAGGTAGAGTGGTTTATCAGACGTGGACTATTTTGAAAGACAAATAGATATTTTGTTGTTTTTATCTGGAGTTGATCTCAGCTGAAATGTCCACATTTTAGTGAGTTAGCGAGGTTGTTCCATCCTCTTTCTGTGGGTTTTGCTGCAAACTAAAATCGTCAGCAGATGAGCTGTAAAAAGTTCTTTTATTTTCATTTTAGTTTTCTGTTCTGTTATTAACAAACTTATCTTTCTGTAAAGATGCATAATTTACAGCCTTGTATTTATTCTGTAACCAGAACTTCAGGGTTTGTCTGGTTGTAGAAAATTAGTGAGAATGTTGCATTTTTCAGCTGTAAAGTGCTTCAAAGTACACAGCTTTGTACTGGTTTCACAGTAAGTCGATGTCTGATTTAAAGGTTTGTTTGTTAGGCAGAAGAAAAGATTGTTTTGCAGTTGTTGAAGATGACTCAATAAGCATTGACTGATGGCCTTTGTGGTTGTATTTTCATTTTTATTTTGGGTTTTGTTGACATTTTTGTTGGAAGAAAAAAGCTAAATAAGCTGATAGACGACCTTCTCAAAGTCCGTTTTTTTTATTTATATATATATATATATTTGAGGCATTGTCAGAAAAGAACCAGTTGAATTTATTTACTTTTTAAAAATATATATATTAAAAAGCTACGGTATATATAAAACATCATTTTGCTTTGAAAACACAAATAAGCATTTACTGTGATAAGGAAGTGTTTAATATCATGGAAAACCTTAAAAATTCACTTGAATTGAACTAAGTGACATGTATCTGATGATCTAAACACATTTAAGTGGATTTTTATTTTTTTGGCATTTTCTTGTTGGTGTTGAAGGACGTTCTGTTTGTGCGCTCAGGTGGACGAGCTCTACGAGGCTTTCTGTATCCAGAGTCGTCTGAGGGACGGGGCCAGCCGGATGAAGCAGGCCTTCTCCTCCTCTCCCTCCACTAAAGGCACCAAAGAGAGCATCGCCGAGGTCAACCGTCGGTACAAAGAATACACCGAGGTACGGTTGACTCTCATTACAGCCATGCACGGTTTAATACATTTAAAACCGGTACAGTCTGAATTATCCTAGGACTAGAGAAATGGCTTTTCCTGCGAAAATGCAATATGAATGCTTATTGAAGAAGAACTTGCTGATAAACAGCTGAAATTAGCCAAAAACATGCTGAAATGTAGCTGAAATGAAAGAACAAGCCTATGCTTGCAGAAGAAAGAGCACATATTTGCTGAATTAGGTTTAAATAAGTAGAAATGAGCACCAAAATTAGGAAATCATCTAAAAAAGCTAAAATTAGCAAAAATCATCTAAAAAGTAGCCGAAAAGGCAGAAAGCAGCTTAACCTATGAGAAGTAAGTAAAAAGAGCTGACTTGAGCTAAAAAATGTGGATTTAGCACCAAAAAAAAAGCTAAAATTTGCATAAAACAGCTAAATAGTAGCTGAAATAGCAGAAAGGTTTAAACTAACTGGAAAAAAGCTGAAAGGAGTATAACAAGATGAAATGAGCAAAAAGAAGTTAATTAGGTTCAAAGTAGGAGGAATTACCAAGAAAAACTTGAATTTGTCTGAAAATGTCTGAAATTAGCTAAAAAGGTAGCTAAAAAGGTAGAACAAGCTTAAATTAGCAGGAGAAAGAACACATTTGCCTAATTAGGCTGAAAAAAGCAGAAATGAACACAAAAAGTGGAAATTATCTGAAAAAAGCAGAAATTAGCAACAACAACAAAAAAAATCAGAATCGTAGCTAAAAAGGCAGAAAGAAGCTGAAATCACACGAAGGAAGTGCAGAGCACGCATTTTTGATGAATTAGGCTGAAAAAGTTTAAATTAGTGCAAGAAATGTGGAATTAGCTGAAAAAGCTTAAATTAGCATAAAAACAGCTATATGTTAGTATGTTAGTAACAGCTATACGTTTACTATTTCCGTAGCTGAAATAGTAGAAAAAGCTGAAACTTGCAGAAATAAGCTGAAAGGAACAAGCTGAGATTAGCAGAAAGAAGTTAGAAGAAGCACAAAAATGTTGCACTTAGCAGACAGAATCTGGAAGGAGCACAAAACAGCTGAAAAAAAAACCCCAGCTGAAAGTAGCTGAAAGAAGTTTCATAATATCACATTTAAAGTTAACATATGAGCAAATAAGTGTTTACTTTCAACATGGAGTCACACCCGACAGCATCCACAGTGTCATACAAATGACAGTTTACCCTAATTTGTAAACCCTTCTAGAGAGAGACCTTTAACGGCACACGGCTGCATCACCACCCGTCTTTAAAGGCTTACAGCAGCCGTCCTGTCCCCTCGGCCGTTTTAATGTTGGCTCAAACTGACAACTCTGCCTTCATCTTTGTTCCCTGCGAGGGTGTTTCTGTGACCCGTTTAATTTTCTTTTATTGTCCAGAACATGAGCACGTTCGAGAGCGAGCTGGAGAATCTGCTCGGGGAGTTTCACATCAAAATGAAAGGTGGGAGTTCAGGTTGTAACACGGATGTTGTGCCGGTCTCCACGGCACACGAGTGTATTCTGAATAAGTAGAAAGAAAAAAAAAAAAATGGTTTGGAGAAGCATTTGTGCTCCAAGACTATATTTCATTTATGAAACACACAGTTAAAAACATTTGTTTCAGACATCTTTAAGTTTATGGTTTGCGTTTACATTTTAATGCATGCTATATAAATGTTAGCATTAGCATTGTCACAAATTAATGCAGCTTATATACCACTTTGTCTATTTTACTCTGGATCAGAACTGTTTGTATGTTGTAATAATAAATTAAGAATATAAACATAAAAATCAGTGATATTTCTTGATGCAATAACAGGAATTGTTTGTACCTGGATATCAAAAGAATGGCTCAAAAATTAATTAAAATAATTTTCTAATTGACTCTTTTTCCTTAGTCCTTTTTCCTTGATTACATTTTCATTTTTTTCCTTACAGGATTGGCAGGATTTGCTCGACTGTGTCCTGGAGACCAATACGAGGCAAGTTTGAGTTTTGCTTTTTCATCTTGAACCACCGAAGAGAAGTTCACTCAGAAACGGCTCGAATAATATTCTGATAGTAACACTGTTTGTTCGCAAAACGTTGTGGAGTCTCAGTTCTTCGCCTGCTGGTCATTCAGTGAAAATGACTTCAAAATCCATTTTACAAAAGCAAGTTCAAGTCAATTTTTATTGTAATTTCCATCACATGTGGTACATTAGGTGGAACAAAATTGTCTACACAGGGTCCCAGTTACACCCCAAAATAGCAAAAATATAAAGTATAAAAAGAAACGGTATACAAGTATCTACGATATGCGCTAAAACAAACGCCAAATGGTACGCTAAAAGATCTAAAACATACGCTAAACACTAATAATGTAAAACAATATGGTGTAACAACAGCAGGCTGAACATGTCTGGTGAGCAGATGGGTATGAATGAATACAGCAGCATGAGATAATCAGTAGCATGAGATCAGCAGTATGGATAATGACCAGCACTGTTGTGTACTCAGCACCAAGTTACAAAGGTAATCGAGTACTTTTAAATTTGTTTTTTTTTTTATTTCATCCATTTATAATAAGTAAGACATAATATAAACTGATTGTAGTTAGATTAAATATTATTTTATTTCAATAGGCAGCAGTCCGTCGTGTACTTCTGATTATATTTTAACAATACTGTACAAACTATTGAGTTAAAACCTTATTTAATTAAAAACAACTGGTTCCCCAATCAGTGCATTCTTACTTAGATCCAAGAAGCTGGCTTCACTGCACATGAAACCAGACTTTTACATTAAAAACACAAAAACTCGCCTGTCGTTGTATCCATGGAGCGCAGGTTTTATTGTATTCAGTTTGCAATTAAGTGTCTTATGAAATGTCACTGTATAAACTTTGACACACAAAGACTGTAGTACAGGGCTAAGTAGCCCGCAGGTGACTTAGATCCAGCCTGCTGATGAGTTCATTAATTAAAAACGTAAATAAATAAAAAATGCCGTAAAAAATATGTGAGAGACCTTTTAAATATTTTGAAATGACAAATATTTCAGTCAGACATGCAATCCTGTTATGTGTCCATCTTATTTTTCAACATTTTCACAAGCATGCAGAATTTATGATGAACCACTTCTCCACCATAATCATCGTCTTACATGACACTAACTTTTTTTTCTTCAGTGAGGATACTCGTTGCATCCACCACTAGACCACTCAGGTCTTCTCCCTCAAACGCACCACGAACAACCCCCGACTCATGGTGTCAGTTTACAGCCAATAACAGAGACTTTAACTAAAATGCCAAAGCAAACCTGAACAGGACATTAACAAGAACAACTCATTTCCACTCAGAAACATCGTAAACAATCAAAAACATGGCACATATAAATTCCACAAGGTTACCCATCATGCTTTGCAGCTCACACAGTCTCTCTGGGACTCTCACAGAGAGAACTTTTGAGAGTTTGGGGGGAAATAAAATAAAGTTAAACATAGACACACATCTTTGCGTTAATCCGTGGCCTGCAAATATCTGTGTTTTGGTGTTAATAACTTTTAATTCTAAGAATTAAATTAGCAGAAACACAAGTCACAAGGCTGCATGCTCTCATGGGGGCGCCTCTGTCTTTACCGCTGTGCAGCGAGTTCTGATAAACTGATCACATCAGTGTGTGATCACCCGCAAGCCGGACTAAACAACAACAAACGCATTTATTACTGGGGGTATTCATGAGGACGCACAACAGCTTTTGTAGTTAGTTTTTAAACTAGTTCACAAATGGGATGCGTTAAGTGAGTTAATTAATTATAGTAAATAACATGAAGGAGACATTCAACACGCATCTCGCTCACTTTCAACCCTGCTGAGTTCTGCTCCGCCTCTTTTGTTTCCACTCAAAGCTCACATCTGAGCGGGACGTGGGTACGTCACCTTTCCTATCCACATTTTGATGTTGTCTGTCCAGGGGGGGGTCAAACCAGTGACCTTCCGATCACAGACTCTCCTTCTCTAACCTCTTCTCCACCACTCCCCCAGAACAGAATAGTATGTGTTAAATAGGAGGCACAGTAATTGTTTTTAATATTGTTTCACATTAAAATATCTCTACTTTTATTACATGGAAATAAATCTTGAAATGTAATTTCTTTGAATTACACATTTGGGTTCTGTTTATTGCGTTTATGATTCAGTGCAGCCAAATAAACAAATTTAAAAGGCAACAGATCATTGTGATACTCTGTTTATTTAATATAATGACTTTAATTGCTGGCTGTCGGCCCCTGGGCTCTTGGCTTTCAGTAACCGTGGCCCCCGAAGCAGTTTAGCGGAATCGCCCTGCTCCAGCAGCTTCATTTAGAAAACATCTGATGTATATTTCCACTTCCGTTTAGAGGACTTGATCACTCCATCTGCCGGCTGTTGCTTAGTAACTTTATCTCTTACATAATTCACTGCAGTCCGTGGATGCTTAATTACCCATTTACCAAAACTCCAGCCCAAAACGAAATCTCACCCGCTTGTTTTGCCCAGTGACTCACAGCCTTTACGTCTGTGCACTGCAAGTAGAGATGGATACACTCGGCTGAGCGTTCGTTTTACAAGTTCAGGCGCTTTTGTGGAGAAGAGGGGTTGAAATCACACAGATGGCAGGTTGTGGCTGTATCACTTGTCAGCCATCAATATTTATTTACGTATAAATGCAGTATAGCTGATCCCTCCCCCCAGCTGAGCAGGTTATGGCTCAAACTATAGACATTTACTAAATCAAATCCGAGTCACAGTCACAAACTTAAAAAAAAAATAGAACGACATAAGGCTGAGCTAACTAAAGAAGCAGAAAGGCAAAGACAGCATTTCTGACCAAAACAGCAACAACACAGCAGGTATGATTATATAAACTGTCAGGCAGAGCAGCGCAGGATTTAATTTAGCCGCTTTAATTTCTAGAAGTTGTTTTGACTGAATGGTAATTGTGCCCACTGGTGGAATACTTGGGTATAAACAGAAAACCTGTTAAAGAAAATAAAATAATCCGTGACTGTATGTGTCCTCGGTCGAATTTGTCGTGAAGAACAAAAACAAGGAAGTATTTTCATGACTTCAGTTTCTGATTTCTCTCGTTTCTGTCGGCTCGTTCCTTTACGTCAGATCTTCATGCGGTACGGTCGACAGCGGTGGAAGCTGAAAGGGAGGATTGAAGTGAACTCCAGACAAAGCTGGGATGGAGACGAGATGATCTTCATGCCTCTCATCGCCGACCTCATCAACATCAAGGTCGCTGCAGAAAAACGACGCAGCGCGGCTGCTCTGAACTTTCTTTTTCCTGTACGGAAGAGTAAAATCTGTGCTCTTGTGTTCATCAGGTGACCGAGCTGAAGGGTTTGGCCACTCACATGCTGGTGGGCAGCGTCATCTGCGAGACCAAGGAGCTGTTCACCGCCATGCCTCAGGTGGTGGCCGTGGACGTCAACGACCTGGGCACGATCAAACTCAACCTCGAGGTGACGTGGTAGTAAGTACGAACGTTGTCAGCGCTCCTAAAAGGAGATTTCTTAAAGACGTGCCACAGAATATTCACCCTCTGCATGTGCAGCTAATGTCTGGGTAGCAGAGTTGTGATGAGATGAAGCCAGCATCTATTTTGATCCCAGTAGTCTATTACAGGACCGTCCATATGCTCGCTTGAACACTCACAGCGTCTGCACTGTTTGTGACTTCCTCCCACCGTGTGGAGAAACGTGGTCTTTACAGGTTCACTGGGTTTTTGACAGTGGGTGGATCGCACGTATGACGCTTCATTTTCTTCCCCCTCGCTCAGTCCCTTCGACGTTGAAGACCTGACTCTGTCATCGGGGAACTTGAGTAAAGCCACGGTCCTTCAGAGACGAGTGTCCGTCTACAGCCAGGGCACGCCGGAGACCCCCACCTTCCAGGACAACTCCTTCTTTGTGAGTGTAACGCACATCTCTGTTGGTTTGGGATTGTTTTGCGTCACGTGGATATTGTGGTTTTATTATTTTTACCATATTCTTACACAATAACCTGGACACCTGCGTTGCATCGTGCTTTATTTAACCACTACCTCTGCACCAACCCTCATCCAACCTGTATCCACATTATAACCCTTTGACTTGCACAATTTTGTTTTCACAACCTCCCCCCACACCCTGTCCTATAATACGCCTGCTCACGGTGTGTAAAGAAGTATCAGCCGTATCCCGTGGAGCGTCAGCGCCTCTCTTTCCTCCAGATGCTCCGAGAGACGCTGCTAGAAAAGCTAAGACGCAGTCGCTCCTTCAGTGACCTGGCCTCGCTTCGGCCAAGGCCCAAATCCAGTCTGGAGGTCTACGTGAGTGTGCTGTGGGCCCTTAACCCCCATTCTGAGTGTGCCCCACCTCTCACTGACTCTGCTGGTGTGGACTCACCTGGGTGTGTTCAGTCCCACTATGGAGGCTACAGAGCGCCGTGTGTGGCTGTTTGCATGTCTTTACGCACGACTGGCTGTGACCTTTTTTTACTGTTTTCTGTTCTGTTTTACTTCACCATGTGACTCATTGGCTAAACAGTTTAATTCATAATGAAACCCTAATTTATTTATTTTTTTTATGGGATGTTGTGAAACTGCAATAATCTGAAAATTTTACAAATCTGTATTTTTATTCACAATTACATATAGAGAACATTTAATTTATCTAACCTGAGAACGTAAATAATTTAGAATTTTACAAAAAAAAAAAAAAGACTCCATCTAAAAATCAAAGAGAAAGGCCAAAAAGGAGGAGGTGTATGATGCAGTTAGAGAGGACGTGGAGGTATTTGGAGTGACGACAGATGGAGGATGATGATTCGCTGTGATGAAGAGGGAACAGCCGAAAGAAAAATTAGATGGAAAAAATGTTTTATCTGGTTGGGAGCATGTTGTTCTAAAGCCTGTATGTATTTTTCTGCATTAATGGCAACTTTACAGATGTACTGTATTTTCCGCCCTATAAGTCGCATCAGTCCAAATATGTCTAATAAAGTGGAAAAATCCATAAATATGTTAATTCGCCGTATAAGTTGCATCTATTATGCGTCACCGCAGACAACCTGGACATGTGGGCCGGCGTTGTGCCAAAAATCGATTGGCTGCCAAATGGCAGTCGCAGGAGCGTGCATGGGAGAACTTTAACAAGAATTTAACAAGATTAACACTTAAAAACAATTATTTGTTTGCTCGAAATTATAGCAAAGGTGTGTCTCAGTTTAACTTTTACTTAATAAGTGCACTTTGACGGTCAAATCAGCTGCATTCTGCCGGGGCAGCGCAGCGAAATGAAGCTGATTTGACGGTTGCTCCAGGCAGACGACGGTGGAAGGCTAAGGCAAGCTGATTGTGTCATTAATAGCCAAGTTTACCTATTACATGATACATTGGCATGCCATACTACTTGAGTGCCATCTAGCGGCTGAAAATGGTTGTGTTCAATATTATCAGTCAGAATAAAATGACTGAATGAAAACGGTCATATCGTACCAAAAATTGGTTTGTAAATATGGGAAAACCCATAAATGCGTAACTGCGGCGTATAAGTCGCAGGACGTGCAAATTAAGCAACAAAAAAAAAAGTGACTTATACAGCAAAAAATAAGGTAGAAGCTGCTCATGTCATGAGCATTAATGCACGCCCATACCATCAGAGAGGCAGGCAGATAATGTGTCATAACACCAACCTCTTATCTTTAGTATGGATAATGTTGCATTTGTGGTTTCCAAATAGTATTTCAGATTTTTATTTGTCTGACCACAGAACAGTTTTCCACTTTGACACTTTCCACTGCAGTATTTCTGGATAGTCTTCACATACAGCCTCTTTGCATGATAGAGCTTTAACCAGCTCAGGTTGTTGTGTCTTTCTTTTATAATCCTGAAAATCTTTTTTCTATGATTTTCTGCACAGATGTAAAACTGTCTTTTATCTTTTGGTTGCATGCAATGACTTTGTTGTTGTCCGTCGCAGGCCACCTTACCAGATGATGTCTTTGAGAACGGCGGCTGCGGTGTGGCTGAGTGCAAACGTCTGTCCTTCACCTTCTCCGACACATCAGGGTCCGTGCCCGGCCCAGCCCAGATTTCCTTCTCCCAGAGCCAGTCCAACCCCGAGATCACAGTTACTCCCCCGGAAACTGAGTGCGTACCCACACAAATCCTCCAAACAAGGGAGGACTCCATTGCAGAGGAGCATTTAGTGGAGGAGGAAGAGGAGGAGTATGAAGAGGATGGGGAGACTGGTAGTAGAGGGAGCAAGACAAGTGCCAGCTTTGCCAGCGATGAAGCAGATGTCGCAGATGACTCGGAGTGGGAGCGCACGGAGTCCCAGCGTAATTCCAGCTACAACTGCGGCTCCGCCGCTCCGTCCCTGTGCTCCGACGGACACCTGTCCACTGTCGCTCCGGAAGACGTTTTCCTGGATCACGCAGACGAGCTGAAACCGGTGGAGTTGGACACGGAGGAGCCGGGCAGCTTGACCAGGCAGCTCGTGAAGAGGCTGACGTCTTCAGAAATCGCCCCGGCCGGTGGGAGCTTCACGGAGGGCGGAGGAAGCCTGAGCTGGGCGGGAGAGGGGAGCAGGGCGTTTCTGGAGAGCAGCCTGGAGGAGGCCATCCACAGCCTGCTGACAAAACTGGAGTCCCTGACCCACCGCTGCAGAGAGCTGCAGGACCTGGAGCAGGAAGTGATGCGCCTGGAGGACCTCCTCAAGGTGAACTCCTGTTAAAAGATGTACTTTTAGATTTTCAGTTGAGTTTCGTGACTAAAGAAAGCCTCAGTGCAGCTTGATTCTCTTTAGCTTTTATCGATGCCTTTGGTTTTTAAAGTCCCGCTTTTCCACAGTGTCGACTCCCGGGCCACAGGAGTCGCTCCTCCAGCCTCAGTCTGACCGTGGAGAGCGCTCTGGAGAGCTTTGACTTCCTCAACACCTCTGATTTTGACGATGACGATACAGGAGACGATAACGTCGGCATTAACAGCCCCCCAGAGAAGTCTCCGCTTTTTGATGCTGACGGAAAGAGGATTGAGTGAGTTCTTACAGAAAGCACTGAACTAGATCAGGAACGGTAAACAGCTGGTTTAGGTGAGCTGATTTTTATTTTGGTTTTATGGCAGAAAAATCCTGATTTAATTAAAATTTTATCAGAGGATTCGAGAAAATATAATTTGTAATTAGAAAGAAACAAATTAGCTTTTGTTAATTATTAATCAGTTTAAGGGAATCGATCAGATAGTTTAGTTCCGACTGAAAATGAATAAAATTTAGTATCAAATGTGCAAATTTGTGGATGAAAGATTTTTCATATAAAATGATAAAATTGAGTATATGTTCAAACTTACAACTTTCACAGTTACTGTAATAGCAAATAATATTTTGGAGATTTTATGAGCATGCAGTTTTAGTCGATCAAAAAATGTGAGATTCAAGGTCACTCCAAAATGTTTTGGATATGTTGCAACTCAAACATAAATGCAATGTTGTGTTTAAGTTGTTTTTTCTACAAAACAGACAAGAGTCATTAATATCTGTGAATTTGACAATGATACAGTTCACGAGGTATATGTTATGTAAAATTTTAAAGTGTACTTCTTGGGCTTTGTTAGTTACACAGAACTTGTGGGGTAAGATCCAGGCCCTTCTCCAACTTATGTAATCAGTTTGAGCTCTCCAATAAAAAAATCATCTGGACAAATTTCTTTAGCATGACCTCAGCACTAAAATAAAACGAATACTAAAAGTGCAGTTTGTGTGATTCTGACGTCACCCTGTGGTTACTCTTGGTATGTGCTGTTCAGGAGCCAGCACCCAGAGGCGAGGGGACACCTGAGTGAAGCCCTGACCGAGGACACCGGGGTGGGAAACAGCGTGGCAGGAAGTCCCATGCCTCTCACCACTGGCAACGAAAACCTGGATGTGGCTATCGTCATCCACCTCCAGTACTGTAGTCACCTCATACAGGTAGTGTCTTCTGCTATCTGTGGAGTTGGACTTGGATGCTCAAGTGTACTTTGCCGCCTCACGCACATTTGTCTGTAAATGTCGCGGCAGTTGTTGAGCAGCGGGGTCGGAGTGTGGCAGCGGCGTCGTCTGCTCCTTAAACTGTCCGGACAGACGCAGCTGCTGGAGGAGCTCGCAGAGATCAGCGTGGACCTGCTGGGAGCTCTTACGTCAGCTGCTGACGGTAAAAATATATAAAAATTATATACTTTCTTTTATTGTGCAGCTTTTAAAATGAAGGTTTGCATCGTTTAACCTTCTGTCTTGTGTCTCCAGTCCTCCCGAGCCTGGCCGAGCGCCCTCAGCTGATGACGTTGTGGTCTGAGTGCAGCGGCTCTGCGGGGCTTTTCCACACCACGCTGGACCGAGTGTTCACACACATGAAGCAGCGCTACACAACAGTGCTGCAGGACAGATACCCACACAGTGCTGAGACAGGTTGGAACATCCCTCTGGTTTATTTCTGCAAACGTATCGCAGATTGTGCTGAAAGTCGACTCTTTGCTCCTTTTAATGTGTTCATGAGTACAACTCTGTGAATCTAGCACTTCTTGAAGGAACGTGTTTCACCCGCCTCTTTGATAAGGACGACGCAGTCTGTTAGAGGTCGGAGTGTGTTTTGTGAATGACTCTCAGCTACTACCGCACAAAATTTCAGCTCATTCTCTATAAAGCTGCTAATGTTTTAGCCACCTTTGCGTCTTCTGTGGTTAATTAGCTGTAGCAGCCATCTTGAAATGGATTGACTCCAAATTTTAATCAATATCAGATCTCCATCAAAGGATTACTTTCTGAAAGTTTCATTAAAGTGTGGCCACTGAGATATTTGTGCAAACCAACACACTCACACACACACAGACATGATCACCTGCATTTAACAGGTAAATACACAATATATAATAATGAAGGGTCGGGACGCTACAGGTATTACAATGTAGCTTAAAAAGGCAGAAATGTGTTTATTTGAACCCAGTATGACCTCATCCCTGACTTGATGTGAAGTTGCATATGAAGTGTTTGATAACAGCTGATGTCAGAGAAAACCCAACAAAGGTTTTGTGACTACAGTGATTGTTTGTCTTTAACCCAGGTCTAAAAAAGGAAATGCATAAATCGTATTCAGAGTAATTTTCTAAAACACTTTGCATAAGTTTTTAATAATGTTGTCATTTATACAGGACTTAAGAGAATCTCCTGATACACATAGGTCTCCTTTAGTTTATTATTTAGAGGTGATGTAACTTGTTGAGCAAAGCCCTGTCAATACTCAACTTGTTGAAGCTTGTCCTCTCTCAAATTTATATTTATAAAAAATATATATTACATATAATTAACCTCCTGAAACTCTGCATCGTAATGTTTAGGACATTAGTTTTAGACTGATTGTCATGATTCAGGGGGGCTAGGTTTGAAGTTTTATTTTTAATTTTAAATAAAAATATTTATGTATGCTTTTAACTCATAATTGCTTAAAACAATGTTTCTTTGTTTGAGGTTCTAATAATTCTAAAAAGCTAGAAGAAATTAACAATGCACACCAAGTAAAATCTTGGGACTCAAGACGATAAATCTGTCTGGCCAGTAGGGGGCCCAACAATTTTTCAGGGGTGACCAGGGCTGCCCTGGCCCCCCTTTTGGTGGTGCCCCTGTTTAAGAACAAAACAGCTCAGCTTCTGTCTAAGTTGCTGTGTGTTAAAAAGGTGAACCTATATTACTATAATCTGAAAAGTAATAGTGCTATTTAGAAATTAAATGCATTTTATTGTGAAACTATTGTCAGCTGTGAACATCCTACTCAGGTTTTATTTTTTTTTTTTTTCCCAGTGATCAGTATGGTAGTGGGTGAGATGGTGGACAGGAGCGATCTGGCTGCGTCTCACAGCCAACATCCTGCAGCTGCTGCTCTCTCCCAGGACGTCCTGACCGTGTTCCAGTTCCACAGCTACATCTTAGAACATGAAGTTCAGGACATGGAGACACACCTGCTGCACCTGGCGAGAGAGGGTCAGCAAAAAAAATTTTTTTTTAAATTGACCTACAACCTCATTTAGTTTCACACTCTGATTTTTGAGTCTGTTTCATATGCAGAGAGGTTTGCAGAGGTCCTGTGCAGTGGGGATTATTCTGGGTGTCTAACAGAACTGAAGGAGGTGCCTCTGTCAACTCTCTGGCCTCGAAGTGGCACCCTGAAAGCCCTGGCCTCCCTGCTCACTGCAGAGGACCCTCAGGTCAACAAGGCAGCAGCTGGCTACCTCTCCTCTGGAGCGTCAAACCAGCATTTCAAGACAAGGGTGAGCAGGGCTGCAGCAGCAGAGAACGTCACGGTGTAGGTGATGTGAAACCAGTTCAAATGTTTGTTGTGTGCAGGCGGTGGAGTGCTACACTCAGGCTCTGTCAGAGGCTGGAGTCCAGAGTCAGAGGGCCGCCTGCTCGGCTCTCAGCTGCCTGCAGGTCAGTGTCTCCCCGTTCTTTACAGATGTTAGTTAAGACTGTGCAAGAGTGGCAAACCACCCCAATGTATTTAAACTTGACTTCTACGGAATGAGTCGTTCTTGCAATCTTTTGAAATAGCCTTGTTCAAGTTTCCTGATGATTTTCCAAATTTATGAGGGGGATTTCACTCCTTTTACACTCGTTCTCTGTCTGGTGGACTCCAGTTCTTGAACTTGACTGTGGCAGAATAATGTGTAGTGTTTGTGCTGGAAATAACTAGAAAATTGGCAAATGAAGAGATCTCGGCATTAAAATAAACCATCTCCTTCTATTTAAAACAGGAAAGTGTGGCTCATTTGACTCGAGACTTTTGCACAGTTCTGGATCTTTATATGATGAAGAGAAATGTGTGATTTCAAAATGTTCCCGTAACCTCTAAAGAGTGATCTTATCTGTCCGACTGTAGGCAGTGGAGAGTATCAAAGCGGTCGTAGCGCTGTGTGATTCAGCCGATGAGGAGCTTCGCCACGTCGCCATAGAAACCCTGCTAACATTCGGTGAGCGGTGCTGTTAATAAAAATCCCTTCTTTCTCAGATTTCTGTTTATAGCCTAACAATCCCTTACAAAATTAGGTTTGGAAACGTTTAAATCATTAAATGCCTAAAATAAAAAGATTTTAAACTTGGTTTAACCAGCCTGAGAGCATCAGAAGTTAACCTGCCATGTTCTTTTGATGGGTTGTATTTGTCAAAGTATCTTTTTACTGTATATAAAAACAGTTTGAAGCTGTGGGGTGCCATTTGTATAGTTACAGTCAAAAATTAACAGCAACATTTTGGTTTATTTAGCCTTTCATGAGAAAAGATGGTGGGGTTTTTTTTCAGTCATATTTTCACCATGTTATTCATATATTTATAAATGTCATAGTTCCAAAATAAATATTTAATTTACAAGCTAAATATTTAGTTTACAAACTAAATACTTGCAAGTTAAATATTTAGTTAGCAAGCTAAATATTTAGCTCCACACTAAATATTTAGTTTACCAAAATGTTTATGGCCAAGCTAAATGTTAAATTCGCAAACTAAATATTTAAAATGCAAGGTAAATATTTAGGTCTGAGCTAAATATTTAACTAGCAAATTAAATATTTATTTTGAAAATTAAATGTTTAGCTTGGTAAATAAATATTTAGGTTAGAGTTAAATATTTGGTTAGCAAATTGAATATTTAGTTAGGGAATTAAATGTTTAGCTTAGAAATTAAATGTTTAGTTTTGAAAATAAATATTTAGCTTGGAAGTTAAATATTTAGTTTGTAAATTAAACATTTAGCTTGGACATAAAAATTTAGTTTGTAAACTAAATATTTAGTGTGGAGCTAAATATTTAGCTTGCTAACTAAATAGTTAAATATTTAGTTTCTAAACTAAATATTTAGCTTGTAAATTAAATAGTTTGAAACTATGACATGTATAAATGTATGAATAACATGGTGAAAATATGACTTGGAAAAAAAAAATAAAAAAATTCTTATGAAATGCTAAATAAGCCAGAATATTGCTATTAACTTTTGACTGTAACTTTACAAACGGCACCCCATATAAAGCAGCGTGTTTATATTTAACACTGGCGGTTATTGTTGTAGGCGAGGAGGGGCGGCTGGCCTACGAGCAGCTGGACACAGTGGTGGGGGAGATGATCCGTTTGGGCACGCGGCGAGGGAACGCCGTCACCACCGCCTTCTGAGCCGTTACGCCACTTTAAACTAAAGTTTGCACCGTTTCCAATCAGACCTCACGGGCACCGCTTCAGCGCCACACCTCTGGGGAAGGGAGAGCTGGCGTTTTCCAACTTCTACTAACACCAAACAAAACTTAACACACACAACCTGAACCCCTCCTGCACACGTTCCCCCGCCTGCTTTCTGAGCCAGACAGACCGGTCGGGTTAAACTGGAAGTAGAAACTGGAGTTTGGACCCAAAGCTACTGCAGAGGAAACACCCTTCAAACAGCATCTCTTTAACCACCACTGCAGATGTTTTGACTGGTCCAGTCAGCTGTGTGATCTGTCCAGAATTCCTTCAGCACGTTTCAGCTCTTTATTTGCATTTGAAGCATTTCACAAGGTTGCACCCGGCTGCAGAGCTTGTAAATATCTTCTACACAGGCATGACATACAGTATATTGTTCAATGTTTTTTGTTTCAGTACATACCGTTGGGAGTTTCAGGGATTCTCCTGTGCTTGGAAGAGGCATATTTGTGGATACTTTGTTTAGAAGTGATATACAGAGTAAGGATGCTAAACGAAAAGTATTTACAGGTAAAAAGTTAACTTAGAAATGTGTTGGCTCTTGGATAAATGAAATTACTTAAACGTGGACATTTTCTCTGAGAATACAGATCAAAAAGTTACAAATTCAAAAATGTTATGAATACAATCTCAACTTTGCATCTGTGCCCCTTTTTTTAATGAAAATGAAAGCAAGTGTACGGCTGTAAATTTGAATTTATTTCACAGGTTCAAAAAGCTCACAGGATGCACCGACTAATTTCACACATTCTGTTCAACTTTAACAGCTCCAGGACAACTGAACAAATCGAGAAATGTTACAGAATTCCCCAATACAACTAATTAAAATGCAAGATTTACATTAAAATAGGTGTTTTTAAGTTAAATAAGCACATGCAGATGCGTCCTGTGCTCCGCTGATGAGCCTCACGTGATAACTTGTGAAGCTGTAACATTCTCAGAGAAAATGTAAAAGTTCAAATGATTACTCGTTCAAGAGTTTACATATTTTGTAGTTGTATCAAATGAACACCTTTTACCTGTTAATACATTTAAGTGAGAAGCAGGTCAGCAACGGTTCCCTCGATCAACAGTTTACATCTGGATTTTCTCGTACTTACGGTTAAATAAGTGCAATTTTTTTGTACATATATTTGTTTTTTTGAGGAAAAATCCATGTGATATTGTCAGCTTTGACCACCTGAGCCTTGATCTGATGCTTTTGTAAATATAGTTTTCCTACTCGGTCAGGAGCCACTGTGGGGCAATAAATCCAGTTAGGATTCCCTGAAAACGCACTCCCTCTGTGTTTGAACAGAGGATCTGCTGCGTGGAGTATTACAGCCTGGATTCTGGCTCGCTGCACATGTTTGGATACATGTGGGCTAACGCATTAGAAGTGGGTTTTATTGCAGAATAATTCTGTTTGGGTCTGATTCCTACATACATTTCTTACATAAACTACTGAGTTCAGTTCTAACGCAGTGACAAAACCCACCGTCTTATTTATTTAGTCCTTGTAATTGTATTATTTGGACTTAAAGAGCAGATTCTGTGAATATGTAGGAAATATTACCTACAATTGATTCATTTGAGATTTAACAGTTTACGAATCATAATTTTCCCCCTATTTTTTTTTTTTTTTTTTGTTAATTTATCTGGACTTCAATACATTTAGTTTGAGTGATTCACTGTAACCAGAGGAAACCGATTTATTCACTGTTTTTGGAAGGGGAATGCATTTTTCATTTGAGACGGACCTAACTAAAGAAGCACAATAAATAGACCTTGTTGCATTTGGTTGTAACTTGTCAGTCCAGTTTAAAGCCATATTAATGAGGGTAATATTTTTTTCTTGTAATATAACCTGTAAAAGGAGTGAAATTACTAAAATGTTTTTTCTATACAGCCTTTTGCAAAACATGGTCCAAACCTTAAAGCAAATGTTTTCTGTTTTGTGCATAGCAGTACAGTATTTTAGTATTTAAATTAACTTTTTGTGCACAATACTTCAAACTTGCAGCTGACCAGTGTTTGATTCAGTGGTTGACAAGAGTCCTAACCACTGGTATAAATGTGCATATTTAGTTATTAAAAATAACATTTTCTGGAATAATCTGTGGTCAACGGCTTCCCCACTGGATCGTCTTAATTGCAAACTACTCATCTGTGGTCAGCAGTATTTCCTGTGCTCAAATGTTGCAATAAAGTTTATTTTTGCATATTTAAATGGTTCTGTTGTTTGTCAAGAGTTGGATGTTCTGAATTACTTTCAATACAAGATTACACTTGCAACAGCTACAAAGTTTTAGTTTGTGGCACAAAAGATATATTTTTTTGCTCGTTTATAAAAATTAATGAACCCATAAGAGCAAACTTCTTAAATCTAAAGCTGAAATAACAAAAATGTAGTTGCTGTTTGACAAACTGCTCTAGCCATAACCTGCTACACCTGTGGTTATCAACTGGTGGCCCATGGGCCACTTTAGGTTTGCTGAAGGGGGCTTTTGTGGGCAATACGGGTGACGAAGCAAAAAAAATATATAATTTGTTTTAACATTTATTAAAGATAAAGACCTGATTCTTGTAAAGGGGAAAATTTTCAGTTTTGACCATGTTTCTTAATAAACATGCAGACAGTTCTTCATATAAAGAAATAAAGCATAAGTTTTATTCCTTGTACTCGCTCCAGTGTTCACATATTTGCAAAAGAAATGACTGCAAATCTGTTTGAACTCATCTTTTTTTGTTTGTATAACCAATAAAATTCTGTTTTGTGTCAGTTTTGGTCAAAGCTTAAAAAAAGGGCTGCTAAAGAGACCAAAGGGCCACATGTGGCTCCAGAGCCGCATGTTGCAGACCCCTGGTTTAGGGGAACTTACCATAAAAAGTACTATAGTTTTTATTGTCATTGTATTTTATTGGTTACAGCCTCCAGGAAAGTCCTACAAGCAAACTGCCTTGCAAGATAAGCTCAGCCATTAAGAGTAAAACCAGCCCCCCCAAAAAAGTAAAAAAAATAAAGTTTATTTTACACAACTAAACTCCTCTGGCCACATTCAGCAACAAGAAACTACTGTACATCCAAACAAAGAACTCATCAGGACACGTGGTGTAAATCAGTTGGTTGAAGAGTCAAGTGCCAAACGAGTTTTAATTAATTTAACAAATGACAAAAGTTGTCTTTCAGAAACTGCTGCTCCTACATCTTATGACCCAACTCATCTTCTGTAGTTCAAAGTGAAAATCGCGTTGCTGAAGCAATTTTTCCTCAACTTATCAAAAATATCTATACAAAAAAAAATTTGAAAAACTTTTACTGGTCGTTTAAAATAGTTGTAGCCCCAAAAATAATGTCCTTTAAAATAACCAGTTTAAACAGTATCAAGATACAAGACATCCTCAATGGAGAACCAGCTGCAGTCAGGTTTCTCTGGTTAATCCTGCTCTCCTGAGGGTCCCGCTTGTTCCTGGTCTGAGGTTTCTTCATATTCCACATCGCTCCCATCAATGTCCTGCTCCTCTTCATCTTCCTCCTCCTCCTGCTCTGACTTACTGTCCACATCAAGAGCAATGTCCTTCATTTCCCCCAGACTGTCAGGACACTTCCCAGTCAACCTCTTAAAAAAAAAAAAAAAAAAAATATTATGTGGAGCTTATGGAGAACCAAGAACACATTTAACAACCAAATTAGAGATTTTAAATGCAACAAAATTTGAAACTAACAGTCACATTGGAAAAAAATTAATTATGCATACACTCAATACAGGTTATAAATAAACGGTTACCAAGAATGTCAGTGTTCAAGAGCTGCAGTTCAATTCATGTCTTTCTTGTAATGTTGCACTTTTGAATAATAAAGTAAAACAATAATGAGGTAAAACTTGATCATTTCTAGTCTTTTCATTGAGATCCAAGTTCTGGTCTTGGTCAAGCCTCTCAGTAACAGACGCAGGAAAAAAAAAAAAAGTTTCAGATTTATTATATTATTATAAGACCAAATTATGCTAGAATTGAATGTCCTTGCTTCCCTTGGTGTCCCCAGGATCACCTGTGGTGATGTAAAGATTCATACCTCGATCATATCGGCCATGTACTGGACGTGTTGTGCCATCTCCTGCAGCTCTTCATTTTCACTCTGAAGAAGTCCAATCTGTTCATCTTTGGCCTCAATATCTTTATGCAACTAGATTTAGGAGATGTATAGAAAACAATAAAAACACTAGAAGTTATTTTTAAGAAGAAGTTCAACAAAAAAAATTATAAAGTCAATGGCAAAGCAAGCTTCAGACAATCCAACTTTGATCCTAAAGAGAAAATAAATAAATAAACATTGGGTATTAATGTACCATAACTGGGCGCGATTGTAGAAAAATGCCATTGTCTTAATTCATGTTAGTCTTTAGGTGCAGTTTCTTTAAAATTAACTTCCAGATGGACTGAGGCCCACAAAGGTCAATTTAGGGAGAGCGTGGGAACAACTCAGCCAGCTAACCATTAGCGGAGTCTTAGTGATTAACTCACCTTCTCATTCTCCTGGAGGACGTTGTACAACGCCTCTCGACGCTCCTCAGCAACTATTTTCCAGTAAGTGGAAGGCGGAGTTTCTACAACAGCAGCAGAAGTTTAAGACAAAGCCAAGTAGTAAAACTTATAATAAAGTAGAGCGTACCTTTGACCATAAGGTCATGAGCTTCTTGAGAGACACCAGCTGGTAAACAATCAGCTTCTGTTTGTGTGGATTTTACTTCCATCTTTACCCTCTTGGGACCTCTGGTTTGATCAGGTTTCCACTGTTTCCGCTTGGCTTTTCCCATCTAAAATCCCCCCCCCCAAAAAAAAACTTAAGAAGCTAGCCCATACATGTCACTGGACTTTTAACTTATCCCACTAATGCAATCAAAACAGATCAGTTCTTTTGACAAGAATCACATACCTGAGCTGACCTCAAACTTGTGTTGACTGCTGAGGGTTGAAGAACCTGCAGACTTTGCCTGGGTTGTGCCATTTTAAGTTGAGATGGTGCAAAAAAGCTCTGCAAGGCACAAATAAGTTTGACCTCATGCATTAGCAACAGCTACAGATCCTATCCGACACTAGTCTTTAGAAATAAGTGATTAGGTTCCACAGGAAACTTTTTTGGACAAAAGGTACTCTTTTTCTAAAGCCTGTGTTCAGCAGGGCTTATCATCAGGTCACTTAGCCTTATAGTTACACTGTCACCATGGTGGAGGTCATGTGCAGCCAGAGAACAAGAGGTGAAGAGCACAGACCGTCTTAACAGCCGTGGGAAAGTTTCTTAAATATAAATTAGAGAGCAGCTACCAAAAGCCCAGTTAATATTTGGCTAGACTTTAACAGTGCTATTGTTTAAGGAAAATAAACTGTAATCTTTTTAGTGATTTGTTCCAAGAGAAAAAGCTATGCCACATTTGTAATGCCATGTTGTTGATTATAGGAGGCAGTCTATTGCTCCCACTTTTTAGAAAACATGTAAATAAAAAAATAAATAAAAAAAAGAAAACATTACATCAACTGGGCTGAAACCAGCTTAACCAGCTGACATTATTCACACCCCTTTTGATAAATCCAATTAGTGAAAACAAAGTGTTGTCCTTAAAAAGATTATAGTTTGCGACTTAGATTTAGCAATGGGATATAAACTTGACTGTTCTTTGAATTAAAAAAAAAAACTCAGCTCATATTTTAAATGTGTAACACAATAAATAAAGATTCAAAATATTATAATAAACATTTCTACTTAAAATGGCAGCTGCTGTAATTCCAAGTACAAAGAAAAAAACTTTAGTACTCTTAACTTGAGTAAAAAAAATTATAAAATAATGCATTTATAACCATTAAACCTATTCAATTCAGTTTATTTACATAGTGCCAAGTCACAACAGAAGTCATCTCAGAGCACCGAACAGAAACATTCATATACAAAAATAATAAGTTAACATTTATCCGAGGAGCAGACTGCTTTAAATTGATCTCAATCGCAGAACTCTCATCTTGAGCAAGCATGAAGGAGACAGTGGAAAGGAAAAACTCCCTCATGAAGAAGAAACCTTTAGTAAAATCAGACTCAGGAAAAGCAGCCAACAACACAATTCAAGAAGAAATAAATAACTTACCATTATATTTTCGTTGGACTTTTGACTCTGTTTTCCAGTGGAACTCATTTTCTTTACGAGGCTCTAATTAGAGATTATAAAAAACACAGAACAGGCAACACCAAAATTAGTTTCAGGTCTGGCTTTTAGTTATCTGCTTAAAATGTCGCTGTAAACAAGGCCACCATGTTTGCTAATGCTAAGTCAAAGGTAGCTTCGTGTTGCGCCTCGCAAAGCCACAAAACTGTTATCAAAAAAACTCGTCTTCGACTAGAAGCCTTGTCAGCGACTTAATAATTAGCAGCAGTGAAGAAAATTTAACTAGCATCGTTATGATGAAAGCCATTATCTTACCTTCTCGCAGAAAAAAACACACCGCCGCTCCTTGAATAATAAGAATCTCGCGCCAACCCGCTTAAATACGCCCATTCAGTCACATGGTACGTCCACCAATCGCAAAGCAGTATTTCTTTTCCTCTCGTGAGGTTACGTGCCCACCTAACGTGACGTCACTACTGTAGCAGTCTGCGCAGCCATTTTGGGGGGGTAGGCCGTGGAGCTTGTTTGTGTCGTTATTAGCTGGCCTGAAAAACACACAAAGAAACCAAACGGAAAAACGTCGGGACGACACGTCGTTAAACATGGGCCCGCCGGGAGACAGAACACGCCACACGTCGACTGAAAGAACGGAGGATTTCCGCTGGATTGTCGATTTATCTTGACATGGCATGCGGCAGGGCGAGCCGGAGGTTGTGACGACTCAAGAAAAGAGAAAGAACAAGCGAACAGCTCGAAATTTCAGGCGTGGAAAAGGGAGAGATTTCGTTTAGTTAACTTCGTTTTGCTTTCGCCTCACGGCGGTTGGTGTCGGTTGATAGCCGGGCGTGATTAAAATGTCGTCGAGTCGCGACTGTTTTATCGAGCTGAAATGCTGAGCACGAGCAAAAACAGATAGACGGCGCAAGCGTTGCTAGTCCTGTGCTCGTCGGCAGCGCTGCTAGTCGCATAAATTCAACCAAGCGAGACAATGTAAACGCGTCAGAGGAAAGAAACATGACTTTCAGAACATGAGCCTCGTTTAAACAAGTTCATAACAAAAACATAAGATGTAGCTACGCTGTTATTGTCAGAAATGAACACCTAGCTCACGTTAGTGTGCTAAAAATACGCCCACGCCATGACCATCAGCTGTGGCAGCGCCGCAGGCCCTGGGCCGAAGGAGTGACAGCAAAAGTTGAGGAAATGTCGAGTTTCTTTCGCAGCTAGTCTTTGTTATCCGGTGCCAATATCTCCTGGCATCTGTGTTGACCTGCCATGTTTGTCTGTATGCCCAGTCCGTCTGTAACACGCTCATAACGCAGTCTTCTACAGAGAAACAGCCATGGATGAGGGACTCTGAAATGATGTCTGCTTGCTGTAGGTCACAATCTTTGTTGTAGTGGTGGCTGCTTCTGTTAGTTTCAATAACATTTATATATTCGAAAAAGTCACATTTTTGAGTTGCTGTTTCCTTGAAATTTGTTGTCATTCTTTTAGTGGCAGGTTGAAAAGAAAATTTGGCTTGAAAGTCATGTCTTAAAACATTCGATTTGTGATCAAGGAGATGTAGTCTTAGCCTTTTGACCATTCCCCCTTCTAGAAAAACTAAAACAACCAAAATGACTTAGTTTTATTTGTGATCTTTTCGGTTTGCCGTCGGTATATAGAGGATCGGGTTTAGAGTTTTGACGCGCTGTTCGCTCCATTCTTTATCAAACGTAATTAAGACGAGCGTGGCTAAACTACACAACGCGAGAAGAAAAGATATACCAACAAAATCTAACAATGGGGGACCCGACTTCGCGAAGAAACCTAACAAGAAATCGTCTTAGAGCTCAACTTCGAAAGAAAAGGGAATCTTTGGCTGATCAGTTTGACTTCAAGATTTATATAGCCTTCGTTTTCAAGGACAAGGTTTGTCTGTACAGCGTATTTAGATTTATTTCTAACTCGTTCAAGATTTAGCTTTTGATTTATTTGGCCACGACGAAACAAAAGACCTAAACGTTTCCTTGTTTTGTTTTCTAGAAGAAGAAGTCCGCTCTTTTTGAGGTTGCTGAAGTGGTGCCTGTGATGACCAACAACTATGAAGAGAACATCTTAAGAGGTGTGCGCAATTCAAGCTACACTCTTGAAAGTTCAATAGAACTCCTGCAGAAAGATGTTGTGCAGCTACACGCCCCCAGATACCAGTCAATGCGAAGGGTAAGCCTGAACCATGTGAAAAGACAAGGCTGTGCAATGAGAGAAACTTGTACTCATGTGTTGCTTGTTCTCGTTGCAGGATGTGATAGGCTGCACACAGGAAATGGATTTTATCCTTTGGCCACGCAACGATATTGAGAAGATCGTCTGTCTGCTGTTCTCCAGATGGAAGGGGGCTGAGGATGAACCCTTCAGGCCTGTTCAGGTGAGACACGTAGTACAAGGCCCAAACGGGGCCTAACTTCTGTCTAACGGGAAGCTCTGACAGGGCGTTGCCGTCAAATGTGTACCACAAAACGTTTTTATTTTGCAGTTGGATGGCTGTGTTTGCAGACATACAAAGCCACGTCACAGTGGGCTGTTGTATATGATCGAGCAGGTCTGCTGGTATTTCTGTTAAACATTCAGACATCTGAGCTACGTTAGTTATTTTAACATGAACAATCAGAGCCATCTGGATTTTAACCTGTAAAACGGTGCGCTGCAGCAATCACCTGCTCTCTGTACAGCTTCATAGTGAAACTAAAGTCACGGTTGTTTCATTAAACGTGGATATTTTAAATGAGAAGGATCTGTGTAAACATTTCGTTAAAACTTTTCGGTAAAGAAACAAAGCTTAATATTCACAGGTTGGCTCTTTGTCTAAATCAGCCAGCAGCTGAGTGAACCTTTTGTATTTATTAAGTTTTTTTTTATCTTAAGACATTCAGATTATTTCCAAAAGTGGTCCGAATGAAGACATTTTCAATGGGTATTGCTGCAGGACAGATGTGAGGTGTGTGTTTGTACATAGAACAGGAAGATTAGTCTAAAACGAACCATTGAACCAGATTCAAAAGGTAGATTTGAACCTGGTAAAGTTTATATACAAAAATTGATCAGAAATATTTGATAAAGTAGATTTTTCACATAGGAAGTGTACGTGTTCATTCAGTTTTGCTATGACTCTGAATTTAACAAGTTATTCCTCCTATGTACAGGCCAAGTTTGAATTTCATCATGGGGACTACGAGAAGCAGTGTCTGCACGCTTTGGGTCGTAAAGACAAGGCTGGAATGGTCATGAACAACCCAACTCAGTCTGTGTTCCTCTTCATGGATAGACAACACTTGCAGGTAAAAGCCAGAGCACAGGATTGTAGAAAATCCTTCTGAAAAGTTGAAAACAGCCTTCTAATACTACTACAGTAATACTTCACAAATGTTCTCGTGGTGATTCTTTCAGACTCCTAAAACCAAGGCCACAGTTTTCAAGTTGTGCAGCCTGTGCCTGTACTTGCCCCAGGACCAGCTCACCTGCTGGGGTGTGGGAGACGTCGAGGATCACCTCCGCCCATATATGCCTGATTAAGGCTTCACCCAGCTGCACAGAGAAGAGCCCCCCCCTCCTTCCTGCCTAAGCCTTTAGAAACAAATAGAAGTACTCATCTCCTCCCCTTTCCCCCCTTTAAAAGATTTGAACTTGTGCTTGGATCTCCTTTTTTGTTCCCCACTCATTCTCCTCTTCCTGCCCTGACGCTGATTCAGTCCCCGTTCTTTTTATTTTGTCCTCTTCGCAGTCCCATTTATTTATTGTTTTCAAAATCTTTGACATTTATTGGATTTTTTTTTTGTTTGTTTTACTTTCTCATTCCCTTCACCTCACTCACCCCTTCTTCTCTCCCCCCCCCCCCCCCCCCCCCCCCCCCCCCATTTTTTTTTATTGTTCATTCAAACCTGCACGAACATTGATTTTGAGTGTTTTGTTGTCCTCTCGGAGCCAACAGCACCGGTCACTGAATGAACTCATGTTGCATCAAAACAGGAACAAGCAATACACAGGTCTTCATGGTGGTTTTGAGATGGACATGTCTTATATCCTTGTCATAAGGAAGGATTGGTAAAGTTTGTAATGTCACTGGGATTTCTAAAGCAACTTTATACAATCTTTTGACTGGGGATGGGTGTAGTCGGGTGTTAAAACACCTCAATAAGCAAAGATAAGACACAGCATTTGTCAAATCTATGGTGTAGGTGTTGCTTACAAGTCGCCTTAGTTATTTTGCTGGACTCTTACGATGTTTTTGTGTCATTTGCTTCAATCTGAAACGTACTAGGCAGGTCTTTTGCTTCTATTGAGTCTGCAAAGGCATTGTACACAAAATGTTGGTTAGATGTTGATTTTCACCATTCAAACTGTTCATGCACTTCATTTAAGCTACTGAAATCTGACGTTTTATGCTTTGTTTTTCGGGGGGTATGGGTTGGTGAGAAAATCGTAACAAATTTATTGTTTAACATGCCTAATAATACGCTAAAAGCTAACCGATTTGTTTAATTCGATCTACTAAAATTACAATAGTTTGTTCATTAAAATTGGGCTTTGCCAGCTTGCTTATTAAAACGTATAAATATTATGTGCAAATTTGACCCTTGTTGATTTAGTGTGTTTTTGAAAGGGTGTAAGGCTTGTAACTTCTGGGATTTGTTTTTCTGTTGGTTCTCTAATCATTACTGCTGATCATATCCCAATACAGTGCAAAATTTGAAAGCTGAACTCTGTCCAGTTGTTTTATTGCATGTGCACAAATCACTTATTATTATAAATGACAAGTCTTTATGTAAATGTGAAGTAGCACCTGGCAATTTTAATTAGTCAGCTCTAGTCACAACTTGTTTACATTCAGAAACTACTGTATTATTTTCCTCCCAGTGTCCCTCGGTACCGAGTACGACATGATAGTTTGATTTGCAGGCGTAAACGGAGGACTTTAGCTGCTGCCAAGATGTTTCGTGTGCCGTCCTTGTGCAATGAGCTTCCCGGTGGCTTTGCTGGTGAGATCAACGGTGGCGAATGCAAGCGTCCGCCCCTGCTTGAGGACCTGTGCAGTGATGAGAACATCTTCCCCCATCTTGGCAGCATTCATGTACCTGTAACACAGTGAAGTTAATTTTTAATCCTGCACAAGGACAGAGCGAAAAGGAAGTGTGAATTGCTAATGCTGATTTTTTTTTTTTTTTGCTTGTTATTGCTGAAAATGAACCAGAAAGCATTGGGGAAATGTGTGGACAAAGCTGAATAGAGCACACATGTAAGAAATGAGCAGAATAGATTACAAATCTTCATGCTACAAGTCAGCATTTGAAATAAACCGGTCAACACAGGTTACTGGCTTACGTTATGTTCATGTCCACACTGACCCCGGGGGCACCCCTCTCACTGTTCATGATGGCCATGGTGGAGATGACGTCCACCAAGGTGGCTGTCAGTCCGCCGTGCAGCGTCCCGCCCCGGTTAGTGTGCTCCTCCTCCACCCGCAGCTCACACACCACCTTACCCGGGCTGGCAGACAAAACGTTCACCTGAACAAAACGTTTCAACAATGTCTATAACTGAAATAATGCAGACACGTGTAGATGTGCATGCGTTTTGTGTTTAAACGCACAAATCATCTGTGTTCGGTTTATTGAAAAATATACTGGAGGAAAAATTTACAAATATTTACCCTGTTCAAGACTCTGTCAAAACCTGCGTGGTCCACCATTGCCTTCATTATTTGTTTTAAGGAGTTCAAAGTCATTGAACCCATGTTGACGTAGCAAAACAACGAATGTCAACCTGTTGATATCAGACCGGAAACTGCTGCGTCTGGAAATACCGTCCGGGCGGAAACGAAAAGTTCAGAAAAATATGCGCGCAAACTACAACTAAAGCATCATCTTGATACTTGATAATATATCAGTTCTCTTACAAAAGGTAAAAGTAAAAAATATATATATATACTGGTAGTAAAAATGTTACTAAAATATTGTTCAACAAGTATGCTAGTTCTGGTGACAAAAATGATTCTATTTTAAATTTAACAACTATGTAAATTCTGAAAAAGATTAGGTCTGATCAAAATCCAAATTGTAATATTTTCTTTTAACTGGTTCTGTTTATTTGTCTGTTCCTTTTGTCCCTCATGAAAAGAGTCCACCTCGGACTGTTCTGTTGTCCACCCGGACGTATTTTCCTGCTGTACCTAACCAGGTTTCCTAGAGGAAAAAAAACAGTTTTTAACTCGAGCTTTCGTGTGCATTTCTTGCATGTAAATATATTGCCTTAAGGAAATGGCCTCCACCTCAACCTCTGATGTTCCGTCTAGAGTTTCGAAGGTGAAAAAAGACCGGACGCAGCTGTGCGACGAGTTTGCTGCGATAGCGGGAACGGACAGCGCCGTGGCTCGGTGTTATCTGGCTGAAAACGACTGGCAGATGGAGGTACAGTAAACACACAACTCATTAATGATGTGGTCATGGAGCAGTTCAGCACAGTTGCTGCCTGTTTCACTGATTAGGTTAAAGGTTTTTAAGTGAAAATAAATAATATACTTTGGTCTGTTCAGTGCCCTGAGACGACTTCTTTTGTGACTTGGCGCTAAAGTAAACTGAACTGAATTGGCAGTTTAGCTTTATTTTAAAAGCAAATATTTACGTTTTCTCCCCCAGAGAGCTTTAAACTCATTCTATGAGGCAGACCTGGAGAGAGTATTTGCAGAAGATTTTGAAGAAAATGACAACGCCCCTCAAAATAAGAGGCAGAGGACTGAGAAAACCACCTCAACAGATTGGTAACATTTCTGTCTCCACAGCTCCATACGTCATAACTTTAATAACTCAACTTTAAATTAATTTACTCTCTTTGAATTTTAGCATCGATTTAACCAAAGACAGTCCGGCTGCACGGAAACCCTCGGATGAAGACGACCACAAACTCTCTCTGATCTCCTGGAACGTAGACGGGCTCGATACAGACAACCTTGTAGAACGAGCCAGAGGCTTTTGTTCTTTTTTAGTCCTGTAAGTCCAATGTTTGTTCATGGATCGTCACCACCGGAGCTTATCTGAACAAATAAGACTAAGTGATCCAGTGGGAAAATATGAAAATAAACGATATGTTTCATTTAGCTAATTATGGATGAAACAATGGACATGATGTTTGGCTACACAGTTGTTGTTTTTTTATATACTTTTTAATGTTTTAGTGTCGTTTTTGGAATGCAGGCTTGGAAAGAGAGCTGAATATATGAAGTTTTGATCACATCTGACTAACTTCGTGAGATTTTAGGCAGATAATATTTGCTGTGATTCTTCTTTTCACTCAGGTACACTCCTGACGTGGTGTTCCTGCAGGAGCTCATCCCACCCTACGTCCAGTATTTGAAGAAACGAGCTGTTAGTTACCTGATCATTGAAGGTAAAATATGTTCAAAAGTTGTTGTTTTTCTCTCTGAACACATTCCTAACTTACCAATAATGACTGAGCTCTGAATGTTTGTGGCCTGTGGGGAGGAAGGGAGTATTCAGCGAAAACCCATGCAGTCTCCAGGAGCAGACAGACAATACACCACTACTGCCTCCTGCTATGACAACTTCTTGAACCATTTCCTACAAACCATGAATTAATTATGAGAGATTGCCTTAAATTACATGGTTAGCATGTGTGAGGAATACAAGAGAATCTCTGGAGGAAAGTCTCATCTATTGTCACTGCTACGGATGTCGGAGGTCGAGTGTATTTGTCTCGAAAACAGAGACAGCTTGTCTGGCTCAAAAAGCTTTCTTTAGTTTGAAAAAATATTGTCTACAGAATGGGGGGGGGGGGGGGTCATGAGCTGTAAGAACTTTAACAATTTGGTGTTCAGGGTCAGATCTTTAAAACAATGATGTGCCCTCCTTCTTAAAAGTATCAGAAAAATATCTTGAAAACTTTTTTAAACAAAGACTCGAAGTTTATATTACTAGTGTTCACAGGTTTGTTTTATTTTTTCTCTGGTTTGACCACTTGCAAGAACTGGAGTCAACCCACACTGTCCTCTAAATCAGTGGTTCTCAAACTGGGGTCCTCGGGCCTGTGTTCCCCCCCGCCCGACCACTACACAAAAAAAAAAAATATATATTTATTTTACAAGCAGGTAGATGTTTAACAACCTGTTAAAATACACCAAAATGCAGAAAATCACATCTACTTTATTCAACATTTTTTTGCTTTTTGCGTTCCGGGATCAATCGGTTCACAAATTAAACCCTGTTACTCGGTACGACTACTGCTGTTATGATTCTGTTCAGTTTAATGTAAATAGTTTTCTGTAATAATTTAAAGAAGTGGTGACTAGGTAAAGTTTTAAAAGTGGTTTTTGATGCTGTTTTCTCAAAACTGTAATTTTTGGAAGTTGAAATTAAAAATGTTGTTAATTAAGTGTATCACTATTAAAGAACAGATCTTAAGTATCTATGTATTTATGTTACACAAATATTTCCATTGCATTGAAGAAACACATTGAAGAAAATTATTTAATACATATCAAGGTTATAATGTAGCTAATCTTTCCTGCAGTAGACATCAGTCAGCACAGAATGAAGAAGAAAATCCAAAAATCTACTCAGAACAGCAGCAGAATAATCCAAACTTCTACTTTTGGGGGTGCATCGGGGTGCCATTGTGCACAAAATGATGCAAAGCAGCACAGATATTGTTTGGTTGTGAAACTTCTAGCAAATATGCGAAGAAATGTAAAGGAAACATTTGCAAACTTATATTTTAAAGACTTGGGGATGGGGGGGGGGGGATATGGCAGAAGTTTGCATTTTTTTTAGTATCTGAGTAGATTTTATATGTTGTTTATTATTATTATTAATATTAATAATAATAATAAGAGAAAAAAAATCCTCTTGGATTCTCCAAACTGGGATCATGCGGACCACTCTACTGCAGTTAAGACTCTCAAATGTAGTCCTCGTGAATCTATTTGGACCAAAATAGTAACAGAAAACTTTTTTATTTGTCACGTCTGAACTTGTTCTGAGCAGCCGGGGAAGACGGTTACTTCTCAGGAATGATGCTGAAAAAGTCCCGAGTCAAATTCTTGGAGAGTGAGATCATAACTTACCCCACAACCCAGATGATGAGGAATCTCCTCGTAGCTCAGGTTTGGACTCCATCTTTTATCACATTTGCTTGGCATGAGTAAACCCACCTGATTGTGACGGAAGTGAATTTTTTGCTGTTTAAAACTAGGTGACTTTTAAAGGCCAGAAGTTGTGTCTGATGACTTCTCACCTTGAAAGTTGTAAAGGCTACGCAAGAGAGCGGATGAAACAGCTGCAGGTCGTGATGCAGAGGATGAAAGACGCTCCAGCTGACGTCAACATCCTGTTTGGAGGGGACACGAACCTGCGGGACACCGAGGTCAGTCTGGTCTTTCCAGTAAACCTGTACGGTATGGTTTCCCTTTGAGGAATGTTTGTTCTGGTTTTTCTATCAGGTGGCAAAAGTGGGCCTGCCTCCGAGTGTCTGCGATGTGTGGGAGCGACTGGGCAAACAGGAGCACTGCCGCTACACCTGGGATACCAAAGCTAACAACAATAAAACCGTTCCGTACGTCTGCCGCTGTCGCTTCGACCGCGTCTACCTCCGCCCAGCTACCCAGGAAGGAGTCCCACGTCTGGCCCCTGATCACATGGCACTGGTGGGGCTGGAGAAGCTGGACTGTGGCCGTTACACGAGCGATCACTGGGGGATTTACTGCAGCTTCGCCGTTGAATAGAAACTTGGCTCCTGTTTTATGTGATTTCTGTCTGTAAATGTAACCAAAATGACTTTTAATGTTTTTTTCTTTTAATTAGACTGTTAAAATGTGGAAAGTACCAATAAATATTATTAACCTTTGTTTAACCAGTAAAATCCCTCTAAGATCATGGCCCTTTTTTGCAAGGGAGGCCAGCTGAAGGCAGCCAAACATGCATGTTTTTGATCTGTGGGAGGAAACTGGAGTACTCGTAGAAAACTCACACAAGCACGAGAAGAACATGCAAACTCCACACAGAAAGACCCCAGGTCCAGCCGGGGATTGGACCCAGGACCTTCTTGCTGTGAGGCAACAGTGCTAACCACCAAGCCGTCGTGCTGCCAAATACAAGGTTTGCGGTGTTTTTGAAGCTTGTCGGCTAAGTTTCAACGAGTTTCAACCTTGAATTTTTGGAGCTTTGATAAGACTGAGGTTTTTTTCCCCGAGGTCAGCCTGTTAGTTCGTAGCTTAGCTGCTTTTAACGATCCAAAACTGCAATTTTGAACGGTTAAAACAGATTTTAAAGAGTGAAGAGAAAGGGAGGGGTCAGTGAAGAGCACCGGAGTTGAGCCTTTTGTCATCCAGTGTCTTCAGTAGAAAGAGAGACACGAAGAAACGATAAAGCCGATAAATGAAAACGTGGTCGATAATTTTCATTTATCATACGATTAATTGATTTATTGTTTATCGCGACAGGTCTACTTACGGTGAGGCTTCTTTCCAGTATGGCCCCCGTCTGTGGAATAATCTGCCGGAGAACCTGAGGGCCACAGAGAATGTTTCTGTTTTTAAGAGCAGGCTCAAGACCCATCTTTGAACTGCATTTCCTGAACTGGATCATCTCTGCTCAGTCTATACATTCTCCATATATTTGGGGGAGGGTATTGTTTGCTTATATCTTGTGGGTTTATTGTTTATTAATTCAGTACAGCACTTTGAGCTGCTTTTAGTATGAAGGGTGCTTTATAAATGAAATTGATTATTTACAAATCTGTTAATAAGGTCAGATAGGAGGCTTCACTTTTACCATAAATATGAAAGTGACTGATTTAAACGGCTACCAGTTTTGTCTTTGTTTGTTTCCATAAAGTAAATGATGCTCTGGTAGAAGAACTAGTGTAGCCATGTTAGTTCATGTAGTATTAACAGTTTCTCAGTAGAGGGTGGTAGAAAGTTAAGTTTCAGGTTTTTTGCGTCAATATTAGAGACGTAAGAATTTTACTGTACATATATTTAAAAGGAATCAGGATTCACCTTTAATGTGCTATTTGAGCTTTATGAGCCAATCTTGCACAAAGAAACTAATCATTGGTAAAATGGTTAAAGCTTCAGTATTCGGTTCTCAGCGTTTTCACTCTTTAGCTCTACATTTTGCATCTAGATATAAAAAAAAAATTAAAAAAATAGCAATATTATTGAGAAAGTCTGTTGTGTGATGAATTACATGAGCTGATAATCCATGTTGTATTCTTCCTAATCTGCAACATTAATTTCTAACAGCATCAGGAGGATTGTGTTGTGACCCAGCTGCTAAAATAACATCAAATCTTTCAAATGCTCAGATACAGTTTTAGCACAAACGTTTTTCAATGTACTCCAATAAAAGGTTACTTCAAAATCTACAGTAAAGTTAGCTGAAGATCAGCTCCCAGATATATATTTATGACCAGACTGGTCTTCTAGGACAGTTTTTTTTTTTTTTTTCCAAAGTGGGCGTGCTAAGGGGGCCTCAGAAAGCTGGAGATTAAAAGAAAAAGGCTAAATGCTAATGCTGTTTGGGGGTCCATGGCATGGAAAAGTTTGGGAACCCCTTTAGGAAACAACAGCAACAGTTAATTTAATTACCAAATGCAAGAACAGAAATTCATTTCATTGTGTTACAGGCAAACCTAATATTTCTGTTATTACACCTTGATGTTCCCAAACAATACCGCTGATTCGCTCGTGTGAGTTTTCTTCAGTGCAGCATTTGGATTTGTCTCAGGGGCAATTAAAACCAGCACAAGTGGCTCATCACTGCCTCTGCACCTGAACCTGCCCACAGCACGTGATGGGAACGACCAGGAGTCAAACAGCCACAGGCCTCATCAAGATTTAGCCGTGTGTGTTACTTAAAGTATAACATTAGAATGAGCACGTTCTGCAAACATGCTGAGTGTTCAATCTCTGCTGAAGAGGCTAAAACAGATGATTAGCTGCTAAACGTTTAAAGAAGAAAAAACTATAAAAAAATGGAAAAAGTGTAAAAGACAAAAAGGATACATAACAAGACCGAAAGGATGGGTAAAGAGACTAAAAGAACAAAAAAGTTTGATCAAGAGTCTAAAAAAGATTTGAAAAAGTTTAATAGAAAAACAAAAAGACAAAACTATATAAAAGAACACAAAAATTATGTAAAAGTGAATATAAAAAGACACATTTTATAGAAAAATTATACTATAAAGACGAGTAAGAGACAAAAAACATTCTATAAGAGAAAAAAAGAAGATAAAAAAGTAGAAAAAGGGCAGATAAGGATTTGACGCATAAGGAGACACAAATAGAATCATTTTTCTGAAAACAACTATTTCAAAGAACACGTTTTTGAAGAATTTAAACAGATTTTTCAAAGCATTTGATGACAACAAACATAAACAAAGATAAATATTTGAAAATTAAGGTTACTAAAACTCAAAGCAGTAGTGATGTCCTGAACGAGCTGAACCTTTTAAAATGTGATCCACGGAAAACAGCCGAAAGTTCGCTGAAGTAGTTCACTCAACACATAAGAAAAAGAAAACGTACATTCAGAGGGTTTTTTTTGGAGCTTCAGCTCTTCCTCAAACTCTCCTCTCTGTCAGAACTTCTGAATATTTGACCCTGACAAGGGTTGGGAGTGAGAGTGATTTGCATGTGAGTTGAAGAGCTCACAAGATGAGCTGCCCAACAACTGTTTTTAGATCTGGAAATACACAGCTTTGAGTTATAAAATACCATATTTTCCAACGTATAAGTTGCTCTGGAGTACAAGTTGCATTTATTATGCATTTATTTAATTGTCAAAACAGCTGAATTTCATCTGGGCAATGCGGCTCCATCCATCCATCAAGGCTGGAGCTGCTACATTCCTCCGCCTGCACCAGCTGAGTGAAGCGAGCACGCACAGGAGGACTCGTTATTGCAGTTCTTAGAAATTTAAAGCGTTAGTCAAAATTACATTATGAATATGGGGAAGACAAAAAGTATATATATATATATATATATATATATATATATATATATATATATATGTATATATGTCGTTTCGGCATACAAGTCACAGGACTGACAAATCTATGCAAAAAGCTGCAACTTATACACCAGAAAATACGGTAATAAAGTATCTAGCTTTGCTTGTGAATAACATGTTTTGTGTTAAAGAACCTTCCAGCCGTGCAGGATCAGGAGGATTATTACTGAGTAAGGTTCATCTGTGGCCTAACGGAGAGCTTAACCAGAAATCAGAGTCAAACACAGATGAGGTCAGAGAGGATACAAATGAAGGCAACAGCTGTCTGAGCCCCGGTCATGAGATTTAGCCTTCTTTTAAGTCCCCCCTCTGTTTGAAGGCACTTCAAGGTCTCATCATCTCACTTCCTGTATCGTCGAGCAGACATGTTTTAGAAACAGCCCTCAGTGAGAGGCTTTCACTTCAGGCCCGTCAGAACGAACACGCTTGTGCAGATGTGTCCATGTGGCCGATGGGGAGCCTCTGAGATGAGACTTGTCTTTTGAGGTGGAGCTGAACGATGATGGATCTGATCTCAGCCCAGAAAAGATGAGCGCGTCTCATGGAGAAGTGTGAGCTGCAGCTCTTGTGACAGCTGGAGGGATGAGATGCAGGAGGACTCTGCTCTGTGATTGATGGATTCGCCTTTTATCTTCCACTTTATGTAGCCGTGTGGCCACATCCACACAAACACTCGCCTGCCTCTCTACATTTAGCCTGTCACAGGCGAGGCGAGGCCAAGCTCGAGTGGCGCTCCAGTCTTCAGCGCTCTAGCTGCGTCCATCACTGCTTCTCTTCTAAAACGCTGTGACTAACTGGCCCAGAAGCCCGTATCATTTCTGGTCGTACAGAGCTGCTGCCGAGGCTGCTGAACGTTTCAGTACGAGTGGCTATTTAAGGCTTGGCAAGATAAAAAGAAATCATCTGAGTGAGAACATGTCCATCACCCTCAAATGGTCAGGAATGATGAAACCTTTGATCTGATTGGTGGTCATAAGATCTGCTCGAGCACAGCACTGGATAAAAAAACCTAATAAATTACCTCCTTTTGAAAACAAATAAAGAAAGAGGAAAAATGGCAAAAAGGGAGATCACATTGTTATGAACAATTAATATCTTACCTGTTGTAGACAGCTGCTTGAACAGCCACAGCTTTGAGAAATAGTTTAATTCTGACCAGATTAACGAGCTAACCGTTAATCTTGCTAATGTGCAGCTAAGACCAGAGGTGACTGCTGCCATAAAACAAACTTCAGCATAAAGCTGGATTCATGACATCTGTTCTCGCTCACGTGGGGGTGAGACTTTCTTTTTCGCACAAACAGTTTGTACTCTAATAGAAACTGTGAGATCTCCTGTAAGCCTGAAAGTATAAACCAGCTTTAAATCTGCTGAAACCACGTGATTTTCCCAGCTAAATTATAACACTCCTGCTGAAAGTACTCCAAACTTTACCAGAAGTGATGCAGCTAGTTGCCTCTGTCACCATTTGTCCCTCGCTACTATGCGGTTCGTTTTTCGCAAACTCGTTCTATCGCGGTTTTACAAAGTAAGATTGAACATGACACACAACTGGCTGATTGACGGATGAGCCGCACGATCGGCATGAAATTTTTATTTAAAATAAATTATTTTCAATTATTTAGCACATGCTGCACCTCTGTGCAGCCCACATTGCAGGATAAGCTTCCTCCTGCAGCTGATCAGCTGATCTCCGTGCACAACGGAGAAGTGGGCGTGGCTGAGAGCACTTGCAGGTGGCAGAGAGCAGTGGAGGCAGAGAGCTGAGTTCATGCTGTGCTTTTTTAGAGC